TTGCTACACTGTTTGTTTTAGATTCATTTATCAAAACTCTAGATGGTGGTGTTTCGACATTCTTCATTTTCGGTACCATTACAAAACTTATCGCTGGTTGTTTCGTCATCGTTTTTTGTCGTCGCTGGCATTATTGGAGCTTGGTTTTTGTGGGTACTGATTATTTGGATTATTGGTTATTTGGTTTCCTATGTTGCACCAATCATCGTGATGACCTTTTTCTTGGCGTCCAGACATCTTGCATTTTTGACATTCATGTAGTGAAGGTATGTGAAACGAGATTTCTACACCTTCCCACATTTTAAAGCCATCCATTCTCGATTTGTAAGACCAGTCTGTCAGCTTTTTCTCTTGTTCTTCGTTTTGAATTTTAATTTCTAAAATGGCTCCTCCTGTGTAAACATACTGACCCGGTTCAGTTACGATACAGGTCTCACATTGGAATATGGGGCTATGAATTATGTCTTCTGGCAATATGAGAATTAATTTCGCTTCGATATCGTTGCATACATAAGGCAAGTTCGACAATTTAATTTTGGCTAGTTTAGGAAAAATGTTTTTGGGTCTATGAGACCTTGGAAAGCATCCCATGGGAAATACCGTCCTGTTAAGTAGAATGATTCCTTCGCTTTTGATGCTAGTTATGAAATGCTCTGCTTCTGGGGGAGCAATTACTGTCAGTGTATGAAGTTTGCGGTCATCTTTCGTCACAGTTTTTGTTTTTGAGATTGTCAATTTCTGTTGCATTGTTGTGGGTAATTGTTTATGTATATCGGAAGCACAACTCCGATAAGCCTGCGATAGATTTTCAGCTGACTTCACAATTTCTTTCGAGAATGGGGGGATTATTTTGATTATTTGGATTTGTTTGTTTCTGTTGTCGCTTTGTTTGCTGTTAGCGCATTTCTGAATTTTGTCTCCGTTTCAATCAGCACTTCATGAGTAATTGATAGATGAGAATCCGAGTTTATGTTTTGATAAAAATGTCATTAGTAGTTGATCGGAGTCTGTTGTAGATTTATTTGAAAAAATATTTGAAAAATACTTTCGAAATTGATTGAGAATATCATCATCCGTATGATAAACGTTCTGATCCACTTGAATTCGCTTGATTGAGTTAATTGTGTTCTTTGAGGTCCATTGACTACAAAATTTGGGCACACCCTCAAATGTATAGCTGAGAGTTTTCTGAATTTTTCGATAGTCTGAAAAATCTTTTTCCTTGGAAACTTTTTGAAGATTTTCCAGCACCAAATGATATTTTTCAATCAAACTAGGGTTCGGACCTTTTTCGCTGTGAAAACAATTTCTGAGAACATTTTCGTGATACTTCAATGTTTTAAGTTCTTTCTGATCTACGCGCTTTTTGTTTTCTTGAATAAACCTCAGAAGGTCACGAAAATTGTACTGGCGTTGTCTTTTAAAATTTCCTCATTTTGTTTCCAGTAACTAGGGCCGCGCTGATACAAGTTAGATGGCTTAACAAAAACGTGTAAGAGTAAATGATCAGAAATTGATATTTGAGTGCTTTGCATAGAGTCATACTCTGTTTCGAGTTTCATAAAAACATAATCTATGCGCGCAAAAGTTTTATGTTGTTTGTCATAATTTGTATAATCACAAAAATCATTCTTGAGTGCAAAATCAACAAAACCAAAATAATCAAGAATTTGTTCTTTGAGTTGGGTAAATCGTGTGATACGTGCATCATTTAACTTAAGTATTGAAGAACTGTTAATATTGTCATAACTCAGCGCATTAAAATCACCCATCATGATAATTTTCGAATTATTAGGAAAAAATCTGATGCTTAATTTCAAGGAATTCAAAGTTGCTTGGAATGAATTTGGGTTTGCATAAACGTTGATAACAAACCAATCAAGTTTGACAAAATTTAACAATTGAAAACCAGTACTTGAAGCAACTTTTTTTGCAGGACTCAAGTTTGATGACCATAACATTAAGAAACCACCAGAATTATTTGAGCCCGGTGTGAAATCGAATAAAACATTATCTTTATCCAGTAAACTCAGTTGTATATTTGTAAGTTTTGATAATTTTGCTTCCTGATTGCACAAAATGAAACTGTGCGAGTTTTTTAATACTTGGCATTTTTTGATAAGTGAGTGTAATTTAGCTGCATTTCTATGCTAAAAATATTAACGCAAAAAACATCTGGTTTTTCGCACATAGAAATTTTGCTAACACTTCACTCCAACCAAGTCTTCTCCGTTATTTTTAGATTTCGTTTTAGGCCCATTCTTCCGTGTTAAAACTGACCAAGAGGTTGGTGAAGTTTCACGCTCTCTTTTTGTAAGCATTCTTCCGTCAGAGGAACATTTTCGTTTGTTATTTTCGATATTTAAATTGTCTTTTTTTTCTTTTGCTGAGTAAGAATGAAAATCTACGACCTGATTGTTGAGAACCTCATCCTTTTGTTTTTCTTCGCTTGGAGTTGCTACACTGTTTGTTTTAGATTCATTTATCAAAACTCTAGATGGTGGTGTTTCGACATTCTTATCTTCTTCATTTTCGGTACCATTACAAAACTTATCGCTGGTTGTTTCGTCATCGTTTTTCTCGTCGCTGGCATTATTGGAGCTTGGTTTTTGTGGGTACTGATTATTTGGATTATTGGTTATTTGGTTTCCTATGTTGCACCAATCATCGTGATGACTGTAACATTCGTCTACTGCAGTCACACATGAGGCTTAAGAAAAATAGGCCCTATAACCACTGGCTCAAGGGTCAGGGACACTATCTCTTGTGTTTTTCTACCTCAAGAACGGTCGGAGCCAGTTCGGTTCGCTTATGACATGAGACTACGACCCGTTACAGCTTAAAGGCTACTACTAAAATATCCCCCCACTCTAGAATTAGAAACGTCCCCATACTTAGGTCTCTAGATACCCAAAATACATGAACGCCGTTAAAAACCGGGTTGGAACAATCCGTTAGGTTACTTTTTATTAGACAGTGTGACTTTGATCCATTTCAGATGGATCAACCTAAAACTCGCCTTACCTCAACATAACAATTACAAAACACACTCTAGAATTTAAATTTGTACTCACATAGCAGCACGCTCAAGAATTGGGAAAATAATCCAGTCAGTAACTAACTCAAGAAATAAATAACTAAGAGAAGTTTAATGTTTTATAGTTTGGACAGCAAGGATAAGTTCATGCTCTAGAATTTGAGTTCTCTTGGACCGTTGGGACACTCCAGTTGTCCGCCTTTCCGCTGAAGGTTCACTCTGGTCCAACTTTAGTAATCGCTCTCTCGGGGATACTCTGTCTTCTATTTCAAGTAGGACAGCTCTACTCTCGTTCACTATGATGGAAATTGCGAATAGCAATTTCCCACTCGTTTTTTAATTGACAACTTCCCCGCAATTGTTCTAAAATTGTTCTGATTTCTTTTTCTGATTTTCAGTTGTCGCGAGAAAATCGTGCATGACATGTTCCTTTCGAAATTTTGAAAAATTAAATTTCACTTCAAAATCAAGTATTTTCTGCTCTTCTCAAGGTCAAACTTCCAAATATGACCGACTGGCACAGACCTTTTTCTTGGCGTCCAGACATCTTGCATTTTTGACGTTCATGTAGTGAAGGTATGTGAAACGAGATTTCTACACCTTCCCACATTTTGAAGCCATCCATTCTCGATTTGTAAGACCGCGTCAGCTTTTTCTCTTGTTCTTCGTTTTGAATTTTAACTTCTAAAATGGCTCTTCCTGTGTAAACATACTGACCCGGTTCAGTTACGATACAGGTCTCACATTGGAATATGGGGCTATGAGTTATGTCTTCTGGCAATTTGAGAACAAATTTCGCTTCGATATCGTTGCATACATAAGGCAAGTTCGACAATTTGATTTTGGCTAGTTTAGGGTAAATGTTCTTGGGTCTATGAGACCTTGGAAAGCATCCCATGGGAAATACCGTCCTGTTAAGTAGAATGATTTCTTCGCTTTTGATGCTAGTTATGAATTGCTCTGCTTCGGGGGGAGCAATTACTGTCAGTGTATGAAGTTTGCGGTCATCTTTTGTCACAGTTATTGTTTTTGAGATTGTCTTTTTCTGTTGCATTGTTGTGGGGAGTTGTTTATGTATATCGGAAGCACAACTCCGATAAGCCTGCGACAGATTTTCAGCTGACTTCACAATTTCTTTCGAGAATGGAGGGATTATTTTGATTATTTGGATTTGTTTTGTTTCTGTTGTCGCTTTGTTTGCTGTTAGCGCATTTCTCAATTTTGTCTCCGTTTCAATCAGCACTTCATGAGTAATTGATAGCTGAGATTCCGTCAGTTGTTGTTGACTCATGACTTGGTTTTACTCAATGGGGGGCAAAAAAGCCTTCACCCGGAGATATACTTGAAAAAAAATTAGATTTTTTTCTTTCAAAATGTAGAAATCAGAAGGTAAAAACATCAACTCTAAATATATATATATTTTAAAATTGTAAATTAAATTTTTTAGTAAAGATTTTCATAATCAATATGTACAACAAATAACATCATATTTGTCGAAAACATTTTATCGAGGTAGTAACCTAATTGTAAACACAAGAAACACCTTCTAAATTGTTGGGAGCTCATCTAGATAGTTTCTGAACTGTTTCTGTACATTTTTTGATCAAATGGATACGGTGTGTCCTGATCGTCAAACTGTTTTTATTCTTTCTGTGACTTGTTTAAAATAATATTTTTAATACCGGATACAGAGTGTCCTGGTACGCTTGATATATCTACCTTCTACTTCTTAGCAGTTTTTGTTCAATTGACTTTACTTTTACCGGATACCGGGTATCCTGGTTTGTTGCTGAAGTCTAACATGTCCTTATAGTTTATATCAGAAGGAGCAATTTGTATTTCTTATCTTCCATACTTCCCATGACTATATTGCACGTGTGTTTTTTTTTTCAATTATTTCCAAATTGAACGATGTCAAGTTTTCGAATTCACACGAGTGATGCTATTTTTTCATGACTCCACTTAAAAAACCCTGCTCAGAATAAAGTTTTCTTCTTTCTACAAAACAGTCGTTCGCTAATAAGATTCTTAGGTAATCATAAAGAACAGATATTGACATCTCTTTTTTCAAGTCAAGATAATTTTAATGGGTGACAAGCCGGAGCTAAGATTTGGGGAAACTATGACAATTGATGTGGTATGATTTTGATTGGTCGCAAAATAAGAGTTATTTTTTGATTGTCTTTTTTAATGATTGAACATGATTGTCTTTTTTTATTGTTGATCATTTAGCAATAATTTGTTTTTCTTCCGTTAATTGTTTTCATTAAACTTCTTCAAGAGTTTTTTCTATGTTGTAAAAATTCCGATTTTGGATTTCAGATTGGTTCGGTAAATCAAAGAACCCTATTTGGTTTGACTTACTTTTCGTTTTCTAACTTTGTAAGACGCTGAATTTATAATTTTTATGTCTTTTGAACACAGATTGAGCTTGTAATGTAATTATTATTCATGTCTCAAGTTTATCTATTCACTATTTCTTGAATTGTTCCATTATTTTTGGCGTTGTGGCGTTTCTGGTAGTGATGCAATCATATGATTCTATAATTTCGGTTTCAAATAGCTTATGCGCTACAATTTTTAGACGAGCGCATGCATGATAGCTGAAGTTTAATAAGCACATCATGATTAAGTGAGCTTTTGTTTAATCCTAAATGAGGAGCCTCCATATTAGGGCTCCCGGCTGGCTGCTCAAATAAGAAAAGGAAAACCAATTTCTCTGAAGCATAATTCACACGCTGCATTTTAATGTGAATTTGTTTAGGTTTCGACTAGTTGATTCACAATGATTGCTTCTCTCATACTCCCAAGAGCCTTGAAAAAGCTTGTAAGAGGCTAAAATTGATGTCTAAATTGTATGGGGCTATCAACGACCTCTGGTTGAGAACGAAGTATCAAGCAAACCTCTCAAGGTAATTTTTATTTTTGGATAATACTGTACACGAGTTCTGACAAAGCAGAAGAGAAATCGCGAAAAACTACTGGAGTTTTTTTGACAGGACGCACAATTACTACATTTGTTTGCACATGAAGAGGCTCATGTGTCAATCGAAGACAGTCAAAACTAAAGCATAAGAAGCTGTCTATATTCGCAGAACGCCGGCGCTGAACACCAAAGACGAGTTTCGCAGTTATACACTGAGTTACGTCTTCTAAGACTAATCCTACATGCGGGTTATTTTACTTGCGCGACAGTGTTTCTGTCCTTTTTCTTGCTTGCCTTTTATATTTTTTGTTCATTTTGTTATAAGTTTGCATGTTTTGACTCGATGCTCATAACTGAAGACGATTAATAAAATCGAAAAGCTTTTTTTTACCACATTTTTGTTGACAACTTGAACAGTTGGCAACAATTTCTGACAACTTGAACAGATTAAAGAATAACTGTTATATACTGAACCGGGAACGATAATTCCCTCGGCAAAAAACCTAGAGATAGTTCATTTTTTTTATGATTTAAAACCAAGTGCATGCGGCCTCAGATTTGGGCTAGTTGGAAAACAATATGGAACCATCATTAAGTTATATCAGTTATCCGGAAACACCGAAGTACAAAGGCTTAAATTTTCAGCAGAGCCCATTTAAGCTTAAGTTGTGAAAAATTGAAAATCTTTTTTTTTTATTGTTTTTCTGTTCATTTTTTTGAAAAAATGCGGATTATGCCTTATTTACTATAAATATCAAAGATACCTAAAATCTTGGCGTTCTTTTAGATTCTTTCATCACACCACGAACAAAAATTTGAAATGACTGTTTTTTATTTTATTTTGTTATTGCACAGCAAGCGGTTTCCTTTGTGTCAATGAACGGTATTAAGACACTAATTCCGGCCGTGTAGTTTTTTTAGTGAAAAGTCTTAATTTTTGAACACGCTGACTTTTTTGCGGAGCGGCTTTTAATTTCTTTTTTGTTCAAGTCAACATATTTTGTTAAAACGAAAGCAGAAACGCTGCTCTCTTATGAAATGAGTGTTAATTGTAAAGGTTTCTTAAAAATGCAGAGTAAATTCTCAAATTTAGTGTGATGTTTTTTGTCTTTGAAATTAAAAAATTCTCCTCTAAAAGTATAATATGGTTTTCTGGTTTCCTTGAGTTCATTGAAACGTTAAAAGATTTTTAATAGCTATGTTAAAAGACTTCAATTGTTACTGATTACAAGGTAATAAACAGTGAAGAAGGTTACCCAGAGACAATAAGTAATACTATGGAAAACAAGTCGGATCAATGTTAAATTAAAAACGTTTTCGCCAATACTGCCATCATCAGTTATCTAGAACAAGAATTTTTTTTTTAATAGTATAACTAGGATCAGCTTTTCTATCCTCGGGAGTGTTTTTACGCATACGAGGGCGCTAGTCATTCGAAAAGCTTAATTTTTAAACAATTCAAGTAAGATTCAACAATGTCTTATAAAAAAAACTAAGCTTTTGGAATGACCCTTTATTGCTTAAAAAGTATCCCAATGATAGCAAAGCTGATCCTATTCTGCTAGTAGTTATTGTCTCTGGGTAACCTTCTTCACTGTTTATTGGCTTATTCCTGTACAGTGTTTTTGGCTGTTAGTAAGGGTTCAAGTCTTTTAACATAGCCAGCAAAAAATTGGAAAAGGTTCAATGAGCTCAAGGAAGGCTTTCAAAGGGGAACTTTCTAATTTCGAAAGCAAAATAATCACGGTAAATCTTTTACAGGGCTAAGATAATGTGTAAATTTGATGAAAATGCGTTTAATGCGGCTAATGTAAATGCTTAAGTTTTGAAGTTATGCTTTTTTGATTTATTACACAAACGAGCTTGCGAATGTAAAGTAAAATTTTTACTCATCTTTTTTTCAACCAAAATGCCAATAAAACGCTCATTTGGTGGCACTCACAATCTCTGGCAAAAGAAATTTCATAGCATCTGTTCTCTGCTTTATAGGCGGCTACTATGTGCCGTTCTTCAAACAAAAGTTACGCAAAGGGAAAGTCGCGAGAATTTTAATCTACTAATCTAGCTTCAATGCCACATTTATCAATAGTTTTATTTATATTTGGCGGTATTTTTGCTGCATTGGCAATTTATGAGCATCTGTAGCTGCTTATCGGAGGCTAGTGCTGTGGAAGTTTCAAGGGCTCGTGGCGCAGATTCGAAAACATGAGACTCCCAATCTCGAGGTCGCAGGATATCGAATACGACACTTAACAAAAGTTCCACTAATTAGAAGCTTATTTCAATTTTTTTTCTCGCTTTTTAGAGCTGACTTTTATCGTTTTCTTGTTTGTGTTTGCCAAGTGCAGCTTGCTTCGCCTCTACGTATAATTATTTTACAGTCCTTTGATCCATTATCGTGTACTGGATCCCATGCCATAAATTGCTAGCCTGTAGTACATACAGCTCTCTGGAAAAAGATTTCTAGTTAGAAACCAAAAAAAAAATGAGCCAGTTGACTTTATAGCAAAAAAAATGATAGCCGATTCTTGTTCAAGTAGCCTAGAACATTCCGACCACAATAATAAGAAAAACTCCAAAAAAAGGGTTAGTGAAGTTTTCGTGCGTGTTATGATCAGAAAACTTTAGAAACCCGTAGAAATTTAGTGAATTACACATAATCGACAACATTTGGTTTCGAAAACTGAATAACAAACGAAAATCGAATATTTTTGCAGAATTATTTTTTGATTTTTGAAAACTTGGTCTATAACTTAAAAAATTCCAGAACAAGGCTATGATATATCTTTCGACCCATTCCAATGATTATTTTTGGTATCTGATTTTACGGGGGAAAAAAGGAAAAATCTAAAACGCACCCAAAGACAACTTTCCTCCCCATTTTCAACAGTCGGAACATTAATTTTGGAAGTTCACATTTTAATTCACAGATTTTTTTTAAAAAAAATTGTCGTTTTATAGGCTTGGCGTGATAGTAAGAAAAAGAAAATTTTGTTTTAAATTAAACTAATCATAACACTTTTATACAGTTTTGAAAAAATGAATAACGAAACCGGGAAATTCATTCTAATAGTTGCAGAATTTTTCAAAAACAAAAACAACTTTGTCTAATCAGGGGCAGATCCATCGAGGCGATGGCGGTGGACGCCCCTGCTCATCAGGGATTTGTTCCACTCACCAACCAAATGGTCTCCCTTTGGTAGTATTTTATGACACCCATTTTTGGCTGACCAACTCTGGCGCCAATATATACCAACTTTGAAGAGGAGAGAGCGCCGAAAAAACGCAATTTTTTTTGGTCAAAAATTTCCACCAAAATCTGTCAAAACGGCAACTTTGACCTGTTCTTTCAAAAGCTTGCATACGGCAAAAAATTTTGTCAACAAAGGGTCTTTACGAGGCCAAACTGTGTATTCTGTGCATTGTAAGCGGATTCCGCAACAGGCCCAAATCAGATTTGTCGCGGAATCCGCAACATTGCTACATTTCTTTGATCTTCTATGCTGTTTTGGATTCCATAGAAAAAAACCTAAAACACTGTACCGTTCAAAATTGCTCCAAAAATAGGCAAATTTGCGGAATCGAACATACCCCTGTCGAACATACCCAACTTCGATCTCAATTCCTGTCAACCAATTGCTACATTTCTTTGATCTTCTATGCTGTTTTGGATTCCACAGAAAAATACCTAAAACACTGTACCGTTCAAAATTGCTCCAAAAATAGGCAAATTTGCAGAATCCTCAACCGTATTTGCGGAATCCAGAAAAGTTTGTGGAATCCACAAACAAATAATAAGACATGTGTATAGTTGAATTGAGCTGTTGCGGAATCCTTAACTATGAGCGGAATCCGCAAACTGTAAGTGGAATCCTCATTTTGTTTGTTGATTCAGTTTATATATATGTATGTGTAGTAGCGTTTAAAATTATATATTATAATTACTACATTGGTCAGCTACCAGTTGGAATGCCAAACGTTCGATCTCGATTCCTGTCAAACACCCAACTTCGATCTCAAACCCTGTCGAACATACCCAACTTCGATCTCAATTCCTGTCAACCATACCCAGCTTCAATCTCACTTCCTACTAACACTTAACTTCGATCTCAATTCCTGTCTTCTCAATTCCTGCCAATTGAACAAACGGAAGTAAACTTATTCATCAGCTCTCAAATACTGAATCTCAAATACTGAATCCCAAATACTGAATCTCAAATACTGAATCCCAATTACTGACCTATTTTGGCGATATATCTTCAGGACTCTGTCATCTCATTCTAAATACTATCTTCATCATTTGCATTCACGCTCCCAATTACTGAATCTCAAATACAAAATCCCAAATACTGAATCTCAAATACTGAATTCCAAATACTCAACTAAATTGGCGATATGTCAACCCATTAATGAATTAACACAATTACCGAATTAACCCAATGAATTTATTCGGTGTTGTGGTTCCAAAACTATGATTCCAAAAACTGCTTGCAAATACTTAAGTGTGACATCCATCGATTTAGTTAACCAATGTTATAAGATTTTATCGTGGATTCCGCTGACAATGGTTAAGTCCTTGCTTTTAAATTCCGCAAGTGCATATGCAAGTTCAGTAATAAACAATTTTTTTGAATTCCATTACAGTGTGTGGAACCCGCTTACATTTTCAGATTCCCCGTACAAATTTTGCGGATTCCACTTACCTTTGCGGATTCCACTTACATTTTGCGGAATCCACTTACAGTTGCGGAACCCAGAACAACTAGCTATATTTGCTTGTTGCAGAATCCGCAACAAATAAAATGTGCCGACAAAATTTACGTTACAATTATATGTACGCGGAATCTACGTAAATCTTGTAGGTGGAATCCACTTACATTTTGGAACATGTTTTAATACTTGTCTCTAGAATCCAGGATCATACAGACACAAAATTGTGCGCCTAATTATTGTATTTCCCAGCGGAAAAGAAAACAAAAAACATCATTTTTTGGTCCAGTTTGCTCAACTTGGGTCGTTTTAAACCAAATTCAAAGAGCTTTAGCGTGATGTATTTTTTTCTTCGAAGTTCAAAAATTGGAAAATAAATTGCAACTAATAGTCTGTTTTCCTAAGTTCATCGAGACTTTTCCTTCTGTGTGCTGGCTATGTTTTATCTTCCCTGTGCTTCACCTGCTTTCATCATCTTTTTGTAACTTTCCATACTTTTGAAATATAAATTTTCACTCAAAATGTATATGTAAATTGTTTTAGGGTGCTTATACTTGGCGGATTTTTTGTCAACATTAATAGCAGATGTTGTATTAATAGCTGATATCGATGTTGACAAAAAATCAACAAAATGTAACCACCAAATATTTCAAAAAAAATGTTAAGCTACAAAATGAGGACGGAAGCAAGTACGGCACGGAAAAGGTAAGAGAAAGGAAAGCACCGCCGGTTGTTGATTAATCTTAAATAACTGAGATCAGTAATAATTAGAATAAGAGTCACAAGATCAGAAGCATATCTATTTTTTCTCTTTGTTTCAGACTACTAGCATGTCACGAGTGTACGATACAATAGAGCCGGCCGTCATCGATGACGTCATGTTGATGATGGCGATCAAAGAACAAGGACCCAAAAATCAAGCTGGAAAAATTGCAGACCAGGAAGGAATTGATTACAAAGACGTCATAAACTTGAGGCTCGACTTTCGAAACATTTTGCAGATCGAAAATCTCTGGAGTTTCTCAAGTCTAACAAGACTGTCGTTGGACAACAATATTATTGAGCGTATTGACGGCTTGGACAGTTTAGTGCATTTGGTGTGGCTTGACCTCTCTTTCAACAATATAGAAAAGATAGATGGGCTGAGCAGTCTGAAAAAACTGCAGGATTTGACTCTCTGCAGCAACAGGATCTCAAAAATAGAGAAGCTTGACTCACTCGAACAACTGCAAGTGCTCTCTTTGGGCTGCAATTTTTTGTCGAACTTGAATGATCTGGTGTATTTACGACAGTTCAAACATCTGCAGAGTGTGAATCTATCGCAGAACCCATTCTGTCAGAAGGAAGACGAGTACAAAGCGTTCACAATCGCCTACTTACCCAACCTGGTCTACCTCGACTTCCGCATGATCGACCCTGAATCGCGAGCTGCAGCCAAGGAGAAGTACTTCATGGATCTGGGACAGCTGGAGGAGGAGGAGGTGATAAGTCAGCGCAAGAAGTCCGAGGAGAAGAAGAACGTGGAAGCGCTGGAACAGCACACTCTGGCTTACGTGGAGAATCTCGACGGGAATCCACTGTACCTGGAAATGTACGACGAAGACTCGGATGGGAAGAAGCTGAACAAGCTTCCAAATATGGAAGAGGACATCCTCCCTGTTTTCGAAGAGAAGTTCTCTGATGTGTGCATGAAAATCTTCGAGTACGGGATGGAAGCGGCTGAGATCAGGAAGTCGGAAGTTGACACTTTTTTCACATGCATCGAAGAGGCCAAGGCAGCAAACAGGGCCAAGTCGGCTGATGCTGTGGAACAATTCACAAACTACAAACTGGACGTGTTCGCCATGATAACTACCACGAAAGAGCAATCTCATGTGGACTCCTTGGTTTCCAAGTTTAATGAAGAGATCCAGGCGCTGTGGGACAACTTGATGACGCTGGAGCTGCAGCTGGTGGACCAACTTGAGGACACCATCAAAGAGTTCGAGAGAAACTTGGCCGATCTGGTGTCAGGCTTTCTGGAGAAAATCCAGGCGCGCTTTGTCCAGCTGAGAGAACTGGAGAACACGCATAGTGAGAAGCTGCTGGAGATCTCCATCAACATGTTGGAGAAGATTCTGAAGAGCGAAGTAGATGCGGACCAAATCACGGACGACTTGCGAGAACTGTTTGTGGACAAAGACAGTGTGACGAATGCAGTGAGTGCGTCACACGACAGACACCTGTACGTGATCGACGCCAGAGAAGACAGAATTGTGAGTCGCATCAACAGCTGGATGACTGGACTGATAGACCAGGTGCACGCCAAGGAGGAGATCGAGAGGAACCGGAACAGAGTGGTGGAAATAAACCACCTCTGCGACAACCTCAGAGATGAAATGGAGGACCTAGACATTGTGGCTGTATAAACACTAGAACACTGTCTGTCCCCAACTTAAGACCACAACCAATAAGACGACAGTTTTTTCAAACACACCTTCAAATGACAATCAAATGCTTGCAATCATAAAAATTGTTTTCGCCGCTCACTTTTTGTTCAAGTTTTTATTCCCAGAAGTTTTGAATAAGAATCGAATAATTAGAGGGATATAAACTGATGTATTTCTTTGCCTGAATGCTCTGAATGATTTAATGTCGTCCTAATGTCTTAGTTTAGATAGCAGCTGTTTAAAAAACTTACCAGCTAGTTTAATAAACAAACACGGTGTAAACAAGCATGGCTAAAAAATTAGACGACAAAGCTTTTGAAAATGTTTATGGAAAAATGAGACGGTGAAAAACGGTGTTCAGAAACAAAGTTTTAATCAGCGTCTTGGTTTTCACAGTTTGCATGACTAGATGTGAATAAAAGTTAAGCAGAGAGGAAGCTAAAACCACACAAGTGGTCGCCTCCTCGATAACTTGTCGTCTTGTTGTCCCGTTGTTTTATGTAGCCAGCATAAAACAAAGTAGCCAAGCAATAAAGTAGGAGCATTAGCGCTATTTGACTTTCCACGTTTTCTGCAGTAAAAGTTGTCCCAAGAGTTTAATTAGACAAAAAATGTTTTATTCATGCACAGATTCCGTACTCGTGCACAAAAATTTGACTCCTACTTTAATGCTGACGAAATCAGGTCATAACAATTTAGAATTAATTTTTTTATTGTACAAAACCAACTCCAGTTTAGTTGCATAAATTCTGACGCAATGAATTTTTTTTAATTTACTTCTTCCTTCTATTTCTTAATGTTCCGATTTTTGAAGAAAATAGACGGAATATTTGTGCTTGGGTGGTTTTTATTCAGTCTACAGGCTGAAAGATTATGATGCCTGAGCTCAAAACTACAAAAGTATTTCGCTTGTGATCATTTTTTGTCAAATTGTAATCATTTGTTACATGTGATCATTTTGGGACAACTTCAACCAATTTGAGACAATGGAGGCGCGTTAAATTTCCACTTTTTCAATACTTTGTTCCTGGTAAACAGCTTGTTCAACAAAGTCGCTGAATCATTTTACCATCTGAAATTTCTGACTCTGTACTTTTGTCAACTATCCACAATTTTTTGAGCATGCTTGCATTTTAAATGCCTGTTCTATTCAAACTTTGTGTGCAACGTTTATTGTATAGCCAACTCTGATTTGTTTTAAAATCAATTTTTCTTTTTTTCTGCTCAATCAGCTAAAATGTCACGGTAAAAATTATATAGGCTTTGTGGCCACATTTTGAGTTGTTTTTAGATCTGTGACTTGTCCACTTGTGTGTGTGTGTGTGTGTGTGTGTATGTGTATGTGCGTGTGTGTATTAAGGTGAGGACTTTAATTTGTGTTTTTTTTTGTATTTTAATGAAAACATTTTTTGACAGCTGTGGTATCTGAAGTGTTGTCGGTTCTGTAACCGCTTCAGTAGTTTTTTCTGATTCTAAATTAAAATTAAATTTTTTTACTTAAGTTTTATACCAGACAAATCGAGAAAAACAATCTTGAACTTTGGTTAAGTATAGTTTCTTTGGCATTGTTTTTAATATTGTACTGCATTTGGCGCGAAGCTCCGAATTGCTTTTGTGTGAAAATTGGCAACCTAAATTTACATTAAACACCTAAAGGATAGTCGCAACATTCAAGTCCTTGATCTGATACGAGCAATCTTCTTCATATTTAGTTTTCTTGTGAAAGAAGTAAAAAAAATTGCAGAAATTGATTTTTCTTTGGGTTTTTTCCGGCTTTCGATGAAATTGACGAAATATTTCTGCCGGCTGCGAAATCATTCCAAACTGAATTGAGATAAGCTAGTTTATACTTGACATTGCGTGTGGAGGAAAGATTTGCGAAATTGATTTTTTCAGCAATTTTTATCATGTTTTTAACAAAAACTACTTCAGCTGCCATGAAGGACATTCGTCACATTAACAGTTTTGCACTGATCCGAAAATTCTTGTGGTTTCGGCCTTTCTTGAGATGCGGAACAGAACCATGGATCAATGTCGGGTTTTTGTGACTCAGTTTTGACTGCTCCAAAAAAACTCTCAAGGATCAAGTGCCGTATAATTTCAAACAGCTAGTAGACGTAATTCGGATACCAACAAAATTGAGAAAGTTGTTTAAGTGCTACTCAAAATTTGCCCAGAATTTTTCTAACTCTTTTTCCAATTTTTTGCAATTTTTTTTGTTCCGACTTTCGTAACGATAGTAACGGAATATTTGTGCTCGTGTTAGGTTTTTTTTCTTCAGACAAATTTCGACGTTTTAAATTGTCGTTTTTGACGAAATTTTTTTATATCATTCAAAAGTTATTGTTGTCTTGAACTTAATTTTGAAAAGATATTCCACCTGTGATCATTTTTCGTAAAGTGTTGGGGCTATTAGTAAAGATTGCCATTTCGGCCAATTTGGGACAATTAACGCGCGATATACTTCGCGCTATTAATGCGTAAGCGGAGATTTAATCCGTCTTAGAAATTGTTCCAAATTTATGGAAGGAAGCTTATTTGCTATAATTAGTTTGTTACTAGAAGCGAAATCTATCACTTTATACTTTACATGGCGTGTTGGGTGATGGTTTTCACAAAAAATCTCAAATTAAAAAAAAATTCATTTATTTTATTTCATTTAATTTTTTGTCTTGTGATTTCACTTGTGATCTTTTGTAAAGCTATAATGCTTTGAAAATTACTAATTTGATGTATTTGGTATAACTAACGCGCGATATATTGCGTTCCTAATGCACGCGTTAGCGGCGGATTAATGCGATCCAATCTGAATTGAGACAAATCATTCGGTCGTTAAATTAGGATACAAGACGCCAAATACTTTTTTTTGATATTAGCGCGTGGTATGGGAAATGGGAAAAAAAAAGATCATAAAAAACCTTCTTTCTTTTTTTCAATATAGTCAATTTTTCTAACAAAAACTTTTAAATTGACCTCAAAGTTCAGGTAAAACATTCAGGGCTTCGTCCTGATAAACAGGCACTCTTGTTTAGCGTCTCGCACTGTTTTAAAATGATTAAATTGCTGGTCTCAATCGAAATTGTACCGCATTTATATATTGACAATTGTAAAACCCCCGTAACTTAACAAAAAATAATCAAAGGTGAAACAATATTTTTAAATTTGAGTTCAGGACAACAAACTCTTTCACATGGTATAAAAAATCTGCCGCCTGCTCATTTTTGCGACGAAATTTTTTATACTAAGGAGCAGTTTAACTGAAAAACGCCTCTGCAGCAGCGCTGATTTAAATTGTCAGGAGAAAAGGAACAAAGTTGGCACTTTTAAAAAATTGGTTCTCAAACTGCGTTGACTTCATAAAAATAACTTTTGAAAAAGAAATTGAAGTTGCTCAGCTTTTACCAGAATGATTAAGATTCTTTTAATTTAGCAAAATTGGAAACTAACTTGTCACTCCAAAAAATGAGTCAACCGATGAGAAAAACAGATATATATTGTTTTCAATGTCAGTACATAGACATGTTTGATAGCCAAAAATGTCAACTTTACTTTTCAAAATTCGAGCTTTTTGCCTTTAACCAAATGTGAAACGTTTTCCTCAAACTTTTGAATTCTTTTCCTTTCTAGAACTTGATTTGGCTGCGTAATAAGTTCACTGTGAAATAGTTTGCTCATCAATTGACTTGGTATTGTATGAGTAATTTGTGCTATTTTTGATTGACTAAAAAGCGCCAAAATGACCCTTTTTGCGGTAGAATTTTAGTTGCAAATTTTGCAAAATAATTGATACCAAAACAATTCTTGTAATTTTTTAGGCAACTTTAGTTCTTCAAATTTTATCTAATATCAACTAAATTTGCAAAAACACACGTTCAAAAACTCCAAGATTGCTTCTATGCTTGTATGCGAATTTGATTTTTTATTGCAGACAACTTTGAGACAGAAGCTCTGTCTAAAAACTAGCTGTTTTGCAAATTTTTCTATAATCATAATCCTAATTTAATCATTGGCTTTTGTTTGCTTGTTTGTCTGTTTCAATCTTTTTGCTAAAATCAGATATTCAAATCAATTTAGTCGTCCTAAAAAAAGTCAATTTATCAATTTTTTTTGAAAATCCGCCCCTTTCCTCGAGAAACTCCTAGATCCGCCCTTACATATCTATATATATATATACACATACAGGGGCGGATCTAGGATTTTCTCGAGGAAAGGAGGCGGATTTTCTGAGCTCTGCCAAAGCACTAAACAGATCCTGTTTTGACTAAATTTTCTGCGCCGCAGACAAAATTTTGCAAAACATGCCAAGAAATTAGGCCTTTTTTGGAAAATTCTTGCCAACAAATCGCGTTTTTTCGAGCGCGCTTCCCCTCAAAATTAGCATTAAAGAGCCTTCAGAAAGTTTTTAGGGTCAGTCAGCCTAAAATAGATGACTCAAAATCGTACAAAACTAAGGAAATAGTTGATGAGTTTTGTCAAAAGTAGTTTTCATGCGAAGTTCAGAACCAAGTTTTGCATAATTTGACTTCTTTTATTGAATCAATTGTTATCCAAAAACTACGGTATTAAATGTTAAGCAAGTAACTTCAAACTTTTAAAACAAAGTCTAGACAATTTTACGAAAAATAGGAGATTTAATTTTGCTAAAACTTCGTTGTTCTTTCAAAATTTTTTCTAAAACTACAGGATCAAGTGTTTACAGAACTCTTCAGCGCTTAAAAAGTCAGCTCTATCAGTCAGCGCTTAAAAAGATAAACTTTTTAAGCGCTGACTGATAGAGCTGACTTTTTAAGCGCTGAAGAGTTCTGTAAACACTTGATCCTGTAGTTTTAGAAAAATTGTTGATGCACTGAATGCCGACAAATATGACCCATTGGATCAAAAAAGTGGACCGTTTTGATGCAGGCAAAAAACTTAGCTCATTTTAGTATCAAATCACATCACTTTTTCTCCAATAATCATCCAAATTTTAAAATATTGCCTTCAGAAGTTCAATTTTGTTTCCTGCGTCCGAACAAAGTTCGAGAGCTGAAAAATTTTGGGTATTGAGTGGTACGAGAAATTGGGGTGTGGTTGTAAGTAGACGGTTGGTTTAAGGTAATCGTTGGATATTCATATATATATATATATATATAAAGTTAATATAAATCTTTTTCAGATTGAGACCAGATCAGAAATAACTTTCAGTTCCAGACATCTATACTATAAGAAACTAGCGTCAAAAATGGCTCTTGAAAAGTCGAGGTTTTTCTAGAGAAAAACGATCACGAGCTGAAAGCTTTCGGCAGATAATATTCAGAATTGAGCTGATTAACGAGTATACTTCAATATGATATCAACCAATTTGCCACTGATAAATTGGAGTTAGATTTTGTTCTGGCATGGCAACAATTCGTCGCAAGCGACTATTCGTAGCATTTAAAAAAGCGGCTAATCGCAGCACGCGACGACTCGTAGCAAGCGACAATTAGTAGCGGTAAAAGCTTTGATCAGATCAAAAGAAATTAGATGAAAAGGTTAAATTAAAAAACAAAGAAACTAAAAAATCAAAATTGAATGAGAGGCCCTCAAGTTGCTTGCGAATAGTGTTGTTACCATCTGGAAGGCTCAATGCCATCCCTCCACCGAATTGTTGGTTTTCTGTCTCCCATTTTTTGCGTTTTCGAACAGGTTCCAGAGTAAAATAGGGAGTTGCCCAACCCCTCTGCGTCCTCGGTTCAACTACACTAACTTTATTCCTAGAGTTTCGTTGCTCACCTTTCCGCTCTAATTCATTAGCATGGTTTTTTTTCAACTCATTTGTGTTGTTTTTTAATTTTCAAATACAAGTTTTTTTTGAAGCTTAGTGTTACGGTTAACTATAAATTCTTGTTTTTTAAAATTATTTCTCAAAGTTTTTGTCAAAACTATCTGAGAAAATAATAAAAACCACCAAAAGCAAACACAAACGGAGTTAATTGAGTTTAAAAAAGCTGGAACACGAGAAAAGTTTAACTCGCCTAATGATGCACAAATAGTCTATGAAAATTTCTAAGTTTCATTTTCTATAAATTTTTTATGAAGTTGTGTTTCACAGTTTGCTATAATTTCTGAGAACTTAACTTACTTTTTTCGGTTCAAAATTTCTTTCAAATTAGTTGTCGGACTTACCGGTCAATTTATATTTTGATTGACCACTTAGCGATACGTGACAACCTGCCTCATTTTTCGATTAGAAAATAGAAAAATCACAGATTTATAAACCATCAAGCATGCTTCGGTTTCGGTTTCTGCTAGTCATCAATCTCGCATGTCATCACCTCGACATGGTTGAAGGCGCAAAGGATCCGGGTAAACAAAAAACGCTAGCATTCCACTTGTCCAGCAAATTGTCTGCTAACTGTACGACTAGCATTTTTTCGCAGTGTGAAATTGTGTGACTTGCATTTTTCCTTATTTAAAAAAAACTTTTGAGTTTCGCTTCAAGTTTTCGTGTGCAATTCTAAATAAAACAAGACTGCTCGTATCAGGGCGAAGCCTTGAATGTTCCGACTGCCTTTTAGGGTTTATGGAGCAGCAGTAATAACATGAAAAAAATTAAATGAAACAAAATAAAACGAAAATTTTTTTTTCTAAAATTTGAAATTTTTTTCTAAAATTGCGCGTTAATTGTTCCAAATTGGCCAAAATGGCAGTCTTTAAACTCCCATATCATTACGCAAATTGATCACTGGTGAAAATTTATTTTAAATTTAAGCTCAGGACAACAATACCTTTTGAATAATATGAAAAGATTCCGTCAAAAATGGTTGGTTATAAAGTCTTCAAGAATAAAGTGTCGTTATAAAGCGGCTAAAATTATAACAGTGGCAAGAATCTCATTAAAAGGTTGCATTTGGAGATTTGGCGTGTAAATTACTGTTATAATTTCACATATACTTACATCGAAATTTTTATTTTTTTTTATGTATGGCTGAAAAGTTTCTTTTTTGAAAGTTTGAGGGTTTGTAAATCGCGGCTTTTCTGACAAAATTTAAAAATTTGTACTATCTAAAACGAAAAATAAAGTTCTGGCTTCACACAAAAAGATCATGCTGATTTCTGTTAGTTTTATGCAAAAAGACTGCCTATGCCTAGACTACGTTATAGATAAAAAAAATCAAATTTACATGCAAAAAGCTTTTTTTGAAGTTTGTTTGTTTGCGCCTAGAAATGTGTTTGGGGCATAAAAAAGTACCAATAATTTTTTCTCCCCAAATTTTTTTCTCTAGAAATTTTTTCTCCATGAAAACAAAGTGCTAGTCACACAGTTTTCGTGGTATGAAATTGCATGACTAGCGTTTTTCCATGGGCTCTTATTGTGAAATTGAATGACTAAGCATTTTCCTTATTTGGAGATGAACCCGGAAAGAGAAAAACGGCAATATAACTATTTAAAATCAGTCTAAGGAATAAATTTAGCGAATCAATTAACAAGAACAATTTTAGAGAAGAAGATGTGTTAAATAAAGGTAGAATGATGATGATGAATGTGAATGTAACACAAGTACTGAACATAAACTCGTCTGCTACTAAATTGACGCACATAAATTGTGATTGGCTGCCTTATGTTCATTTTTTAAGCAGTCCTCGAAGGTTAATGTCTCAATTATGGGAGACAAAATTTGAGCCGAAAAAAAAATTAAAAAAATTAAACCCAAAAGTTTCTTTGTCGGCTAAATTTTTAACCTGGACCATTATAAGCGTATGTAATTGTTCATGAATGTAGCATTGCGTTGTTAGTTTCAAAATGGTCACAATATCAAAAAAATTTGCCCTGAACGAGAAATTTTCAGCAATGAGCAGCTCGTTCAGGAACTTTGTCAGGAAGACCAAACATGGTTGTTTTCTGTGCATTCTTCCAAAACTTACAATTGATATTTGTTGGGCAAATGCCTCTGTGAAATTAGTATAGATTAGCACCACAAGTACCATCAGAATAAATTAGGGTTCGGCAGAAAAGTTCTCTTCCTTCCTTAAACACACACTGTTAAATATTCAACTGTTGTAAAAAAAGATCAGTTTTGGATACTCTTTGATATTTACCTTTTTTAAGTCATCTAAATAAACCAAATTATTTCAAATTGAATTTGAAGGTGAGCAATTTATTGATCAGTTTTGATAGTTTGACAAACGTTTTGATAGTTTATTCGGTTTTGCGGTACCAGTTTTGTCGGAAGAAGGACCAATTTGAGACCAACTTGTGGCTCTTATGCTGTGCAGACATTGAGGGCCTATATCACGTGACTTATAACATCCTGGTGACACGTGTGCGCCCAGAGCCATTTCCCATTTAGCTTTCCTCTTCCCTTCTCCGCTAATTGGGCTAATTTACCACTCTCCCATAATCTCCCCTCCCATTTTAGTATTCGTCAATCAAACACTGAAATGGGTAAGTACAACTTGCATTATTTTCTTCAATTTGTTTCCTTTTTCGACTTGCTTTTGTCATTTTTTATACTGCCCAAAGCTTTTCTCTCCTTCGATAAAAATTTTGGGACAATAAATATACCGATTACCATTGAACTTGTTTACTGTAAAACGAAATATGTTTAAAAAACTTCAAATGCGCAACATGAACTGAATGCTTTTTGCAAACATTTTTTTTTCGCTTTGTTTTTTTTTTGATCAAAATCAATCTCGTCTAGGGAGAATGTTTAAGGACCATTTGTCGCGTGTTTGTTCCAGAGAATGGGTAATTATTAGTGAGGGAACAGAGGTATAATGGCCTCCTGTTTTATAGGGGCGCCGGCTTTGATCGGACCAGGAGGGGAAATCCGGATTTGTACGTTTGGAATGGAAAGGATTTGACCAAATTGAACAGCAAACAAAATGGAGGAAATTGAAACGAACAAAAAAGAAATCGATATTCGGTCGCGCTTCCTTTTAATTCTTTATCCAAGATCAAATTTTATGCTTTTTGGGGCTGCAATGGCATTACATTAATTTTAAACATTAGGCCATTTGATTTGTTTTTGATCTTAAGAGAGTCTGTCATTTGCTGTTTTCTATCCTCTTAATAAGTTGCGGGTGCCTTTTGGACCAATACGATTTTGAATATTACTTTTAAATCTGAAATGACTGTTTTCAACGGGATATTTACAAATGAAAATTAAAATTTTTGAGGAAATTCAGCTCGAAATTAATTCTGACAATTTAGCTGGTGGGAGACTCTCCAATGACTCGCATAACCTTTGAATGGTAAGCAGTTTTGATTAAATTTGGAGTCTATCTTTTGGGTATTTGGACATAGTTGTAAAATCTGTAGGACACCTCTCTCTGTCTGTACAGTACATATACCCCTGCTAAACCCATTTTAAATCCCAATTCGTTTCCTATCTGCAAATACTAATCAGAAAATGCCCTTTTAGTGCACTTCTCTGACCTGTCTTCTCTCCACTGATTCACTGACTATATTTTCCCCTTCAACTAGACAAGACCACCCTGTATTTTTCGTTTTTCGTTCGTATGCATAAACCACCCGATGTAAAAATCTGCTTCTATACAAATCAGACGAATAAAATGGTTTTTATAGAGACAGAGGTACTAAATGCTACCATCTAACAATTGTTTGAAACATGACTAATATGTGAGCTTGGGTTGAACTGACAGCAACTAGGGTTGATTTGTAATTTCACCATCCGGCTTTTGAACGCTTCTTTTTTCAATGCCAAGTGGAACCCCGGAAGAAGGCTATTAAGAAGCGGATAAGACTGTCGTCATAACTGGCTGACCTTACTTAGTGCAGTTGTCTGGCTGTGATGAATTCATAACTTTTTCTTCCTTCCTCTCTCGGGATTTCATGTCTCATTTGCATGCGATAGTCATTGTTCCCTCTTACGAGCAGCTAAGGTGAAATACATTTATTCTTTTCGACATCAATTTTTTCTTTCTTTTTCAACATGCTTCAAGTTATCACTTATTTAGAAGTTCTGTTTTCTCAAATGAAATAAGACTGCTCGTATTGAAGCCAAGCAAAATTCTTCGACTTTTATGTTTGAAATGTTTTTCCTTAAAAACAAATATTATTTGTTAAAATTTTGGAAAAAGATCAACAATTTGGATTTTTTCCTCCGTTTTTAAAATCATCTTCAACCGGAAATGCCAACTACCAAGTGGCAAAATTGAATTCAGGACTTCATCCTTTTGAAATCTTAACACTTTCCTCTCATCGGTTTCAAAGAATTTGGAGTCGTCGAAATCTCTGGAAATCGTCGAAAACTGGAAACAAGCCGCGCAATAATTGTTCCAACTTTCGGAGAAAACGATGAAATATTTGTGCACGGGGTATTTTTTCGCCAGACAAACTTTGTCGTTTTAACTAGCATTCTTGACTGAATTTGTAATGCATTCTAAAAAACGTTCTTTTGGCCAACTTGGAATAATTAATGCGCGCTATTGAAATTTTTCTATTTTTACGTAGCGCAAACGGCGTTTTATTTTGGCTCAGAAATTTTTGTTCCAACTTTCTAAGTTTTTTTTTTTGAGAAATTCATCAATATTTCTTAGAGCGAAGGCTGTTTAATAAACATTAAAAGGCTGTCGGAACATTCAGGTCTTCATCCTCATAGGAGCGTCTTGTATTTAATATACGGCCACCTTGGCCAGAATTCGGTATAATTCTCTTTAGGTTTTTGTGTATTTTGTGACCATCGCGTAACACAGGTCTGTTTCGAGTTTCTCGGCCAATAAAAACAAGTTTCAGGTATGTTTTGGGAACTTTTCGACTATTTTGACCTCAAATGTCTGCTCTACTTTGGTTGATCCAATTGATATGTATTGACCAAAGCCTCAGCCAATTTCGGGTTATGTTTTCGACTTTCAGAAAAGATTAATTTACCAAAATATGATTTTCGGGTAAAATCACGGGCTCATTTGTCAAATCAGATGACGATGGTCGAGCTCTCTTTCGACCGTGCTGCAGATATGTTTGTCGAACGCGCTTAGGATTTGTATAAATCTGGCTCGAGGTATGTTTAGACTTAGCTCTTCCAAAATGTTTTGGCCGTGCTCGAGGTATGTTCCGAGTGTTTGCTCAGCCCAAACCCCTGAATAGATTTAGTCTTTGTAGCAGACATTTGACGTTACTACTTTGAAAGGTAGATCGTGAAAGAAGCACTTTGACTAGTGAAGGGATATAATTTTGCCTAAACATAAGAATTTGGTTTTTTTTCCGATTCAGGTCTTTTTCTAGCCAAGTTTCTTAATTCTGCTCTGGTAAGTCAAATAACATGCCTTACATGGCTTGCAAATTTGCCTTAGCTGCCTAAAAAGCAGTTAAAGACCTAATTTGAAAAAAATACGAAATCAGCAAATATATAGTTGAACATTTGTTTGATGGTTATTCGTTATTTAATTGTTATTTTTTATGACGGACAATTTTTTTTAAAATTTATTGCAACATTTTGCAAGCTCGAAGCCTTTGTACTATTTTGAGATATCCATTTTTGGTGTCGGACCCTAAAAAGTTTTTACCAAGCTAGAATTAAGTGGGCCGAATCACCGATTTTTTACAAAGAAGGGAAGACCGTGACCACTTCTCTGCCGCTCCCAAGATTTTTTGAGCTGAAATTGACATCTGAATTTCAAAATTGATTCCCACCAATTTGCACAGTCTTCCATTTGAATAGGCGCGGATCTAAGAGTTTAGCAAGGGGTAATATTTCAGAAAAAAAAACACTTTCGAAAAAACCCCCATGTTTCAATTCGACCAAATTTATTTTCCCAGAACACTACAAAGTTTTTCTGGCCACAAGTGAAATTACTACGTTTTTTTAAAAAAAAAACTGTGCCCAAAAAAGCGCTCTCCATCCAAATTTTAAGGGTTTTTTGACGCAGACGGTGTAGTCACTACACGATGAAGCACAGTAGTGTTGAAATTGTGTATCCCTTGCTTACTTTCTGATTATGACGTCTTTCGACAGGAGTATGTATGAATGTATGTTCACATATGCCTCTGGTCATTTTGAACATGTATGTTCATCTCATCTCAAAGAAACTCTTTGAACTTCCTTTTTTCTTTCTCCTTCAAACACTTTTTGTACATTTCTTGTATTTTGTTCCCAGCCGTCTCATTTTCTGGGCCGGAGGCATTTCTGGCGCCAGTTAAGCAGGGATAAAATTAAACTGCAGCTTAGTTGCGAAATATCGGAGCTTCATCGTCATAAAATGAAGGGAATGTTTGCAGCTTTACGACCTGTTAACTTGTTTGTCCCGAGTGTGGTCGCGCTGCTCACTGACCCATAAAACCCCAAATTAGGATCCATTTTGGAATTTGCCCGGTGAGAGGAGAGGAGAAATTTGATCTCTGTGGGAAATGCGGCCAGTATTTGGGAAGTATTATTCAGTGTCAAAATATGATAACTGTGAAGTTTATCGTCCAAATCCCTGACCGAGTTAAATCACAGTTGGCTGCTCACTGTTAAAATCTAGTATTTAATGTGTCACTTTTCAACACGATTCTTATTTCTCTCTGGCACAAAATTAAACCTATTCTGTCTTTATTAGTACCTTATTCTATAATTCAAGCTCTCTAATATTGTAATTCTACTTTTGATTCTGCCGGCACGGGGGTGCTGTTTTTTTATTCTTCCAGTTATGACAAAATGACTATTTTGGAAATGCAGCAGTGGTCTCGTGGTCTCAGTTGGACTATCTCTCTCTAGATGGGGTTGGCGAATGGTAAGAGTGGCCACGCTCCTTTTAAAAATCAATTTCAAATTTTTACCATCCGCTCTTGTTTATAAAGTGCGTCTCTGAGGAGTAAAGAAGGTGGGGTAATAAGGGAAGGGGAGATTAGCGTCACAGGTACTTCTGCCCTCTCTCGTCCCAATCGAACGGAAGAAGAAAAACCACTTTTGCAGCCAACTGCGGAATTAAGCCTATCACCCCAGAATATAATGAAAAGTTTGGCCCGATAACACAGTTCTTTTTTTTTTCAGTTGGCATCCAAACTGCGTTTCCATATCAAAATATTGTTGGTTGGGATGCAAATAAAGCAGACTGACTGCCTCTTATAAACAAAAAAGCCCATTTATCATAACTGACCCAAATCTGATCAAATATGCATTTTTCAGTCAGCAACAACTTCTGAAGCAAAGACTCTTTCGTCTACGGCGAAACATCTTTTTTAAGGCACAACTTCAGCACAAATTTTATTTTATTAGAAATGAAGAACAGAAAATAATGTTAGCTATGGCCGAAACAACCTAATTATCTAAATCAGAGGCGAGTCTGAGATTTTCTCTAGAGGGGTGGAAGCGAACTTTCAAAAAACTTTTGAACATTTTTGTCGCATTTTTAGGTCGATCGATTTGATTATCCGAGCTTTCCCATAAACTCTGATTAATCGAAAGTACATGTTTGAGCCGCAGTCAATTATCTGAAATATCAGTAAAAAATAGCGTTGTGAGAACTTTTTGGCAGTTTTGTTCTGACAAAAAAAATGCGTTTTCGGCGTGGCTCTCAATCAAAATTAGTTTTGTAATGACAAAAAAATTTGGAAAACATTTTACGGTCGGTCGGCCGAAACTGGATGCTTTAAACTAGTAGCAAAGGGGTCCCTTTGTGTGTCGAGGTGGTAAAATTTGCAACTTCTTACAATTAAACCATTGGTTTCATGGTGTTTCAGGACTGTTAGCATTGTTAACCTGCACATTTCCAGCAATAATCTCAACATGTTCTGCCCGCATCCAAATTAGCCCAATTATCGGCTGAGGAGAAAGCAGATTTGCGCTCTGCCCTCGAGTATCATATCGTTGTTCATTGTTTTAGTTGATCAAATTCACTCAATTTTACTCTCTTGTCTTTCTCCCCTTCTGTGTCATAAAGTTCCCCCTCTTGTCTTACCATTATCTCATACCATCATTACCATCGCCCCTTCTTCCTCTTCTTACCAATTATCTCCCCCACGCCAATCCGGTTATTGGAGAAGCCCAGAGTCATTGGAGTGGAATTGGCCTTGAAGTATCTCCCACTTTTGCTCTGGTCCCCATTTAAGACCAGCCACCTGAGTCGAGCAGCACCACAAGAGCCCCTTTGGTCATAAGAAGCTTATTCTCATTTTACAATCTCCTCATTATTCTCCTCAAGATTCCAGCCCAACTGTAAACTCACTTTAAATGAACAAATCGGGATACGTGGAATAAAACTGGGAAAAGTTCAATATTTACAGCCTGCGACCTTTTTGATTGCAAACTTTTTATAATCACCTGAAATCTGGCAATTTAGAAGTTATGGTTGAGGTATTAGCAGCTCAAAACGACCTCTGTAGTTATCTGCAACGAACCCACATCACATCAAACCGAATGATAGCCTCCAACGTTACCATCCAGGGATCCCAGACTTCCCGAGGACTCCTCGGCAGCTCCTCGCGATTAGGAACCCAAGAGGAGTCTAGACTTCAGGGGGAGTTGTCATTACGTGGAGATTTAAGGCCGAAGAACGACATCTTCTCTGAGAACCTGGATGTGACCCTGGATCTTCTGGAGGAAGAGGGCGAGGAAAGTGCAAGTGTGAAGGACATGTATGAGAACATGTATCAGAGTGTTTCTATGATCTCCACCAACTGCAGTTTGGCGTCGGCGGACACCAGCAGCATCGCATCCAGGTTATATTCTTAAACTTTTTTAAATAAGTATTAATGACAAAATTTTATTCAAAAAAGTAAAGACCAATGATAGAACATTTTCTGCTGTGAAAAAAAAAGACAATAAAATAGAAATAAGTAGAACGGGTTGTTCATAACTACAGGCGCTTTGATTTTATAAAAGAAAAGCTTTAATGTTGTTCCTGGTTGTGTGTAAAAGAACTAACTGTTTTAGCCATGGGGACTACGATATTCCGTTTGAAGAGAGCTACTACGTGAAGAAGAAGCTCTTGGCTGGCAACAGCCGACTCTCCAATGAACTCACTCAGCCCCAAGTGGACTCGGCACTGGACCGACTTAAAATCAACGAACAGGTTAATAAGTTCACAAATTGTGACAGTTGTTTCACTTGAGTTAAGAGCAGTCGTCTCTGAAGTTGAACTAGAATTGGTTTTTCGAACATTTTCATGGTCATCAGTCGTTTGCCAATTTCATTCAAACTGTTCTATGCCATAGTCTGCTGCTTGTTTCAAAACTGTAATAACTTAAAACATTATGGTTAAATTTGTTTGATCGATGAATCAAGCTCAATTTATGAACTACATCTAATCAGGTTATGTTGGCCGTTTTTCCTATGGATAACTATTCTTCATCAAAATTTCAACTGTCAGGATCTATTCAAATTGCTGTTTTCAATTTTTCAGCGCCGAGAAAATGTGGTCTACGCTTTTTGTTTTTCAGACTGACAGATTATGAATGTTGACCGAAACTTGATTAGAGGTTAAAGGTTAAGCTCTAATTAATTTTCCAAAGTTTCAACGTTATAATAGCTTTCATGCACTTTAAACCTAATTTAATTGCCCTTTCTCCATCAAAAATTAATAGAAAACTTAGCACAAAAAGTTTTTTAAAATGTAAACATTTTTTTGTATCTTTTTCTTCGAAGTTTCTTCTTTATTTGTACTTTTCTATTTCGATCATTGTGGTCAAAACTATTCGTGCTAATTGCACAGCAACCGGCTATCCTTCTCTTATTGACTCTTTTCGTCGAAAAAATTTTTGGAAAAAAATATTACTGACCAAACTGTGTATTTCGTGAATCGTATGCGGATTCCACAACAGGTTGACAACTGATTTATCAGCGAATCCGCAATACGGCTATTTGTTTTTTACTTTTGCTGTTTTGGACTCCATGGACAAACAAATAAATTGCTGTACTGCCCAAATTTTCTCTAAAAGCAGCCAAAATTGTTGAATCCGAACAACATGCTATATCAGCTCATTGCAGAATCCGCGACTCAATTAAAATTCCGACAAAGTTAACGTTACAAGGTTTTTAAGCGGAAACCACGAAAGTTTTGTAACTGGAATCCATTCACATTTCGTAACATGTTTAAAGAGTTGTCTATGGATTCCAGTGACCTACACACACCAAACGGTCTGCATATCCGGTGCGCAGTTTGACCTCGTAATGATTTTTTTTAAATGTTGAAAAAAAATTCTTTGTTTTTTTTGTATTCCCTTTCTTTTCGTGACGCTTTTTTAGCAACTTTAATTTGTTTTTTTTTTCCTGTTTTTGCTTGATAAGTGTTGTCGGGGTTTTCTGTGCTACTTGCACATCAAGCTGCTATCTTTATTAATTTTGTTTTTAGGTGTCCCAAACTGCAGTCGTTTCACCTCCCTACTTCTTCATCGACTTCGACAACGACCGAATCAGCGCAATAGACCCGCCTAAGTCGAACACAGGCATGGTCAACTCACAGCTATGCTACCAGTCACCTCTTTTCCCCAGCACTGTCAGCCAGAACAAACCAGCAAATAACCAGCATACAGTCATCAAAACAAACAAAAATGACTTTAATTTATACAAACCCGAGTCCAAATCAAAAGACTTCGAACGCACCAACCAAAAACTGAACTCGAAATCAGATAAAGTCACTCTTCAGAAACTGCTTTCGGGTATTAATGAGGAAGGGGCGAACGAAAATCGGGAAAACATTGGTGGGTTCAGTTTGAAAAGCAAAAAACACAGAAGCAAAAGCTCGATCGGGTTCGCATCTAAGAAGTCGTCGCCAGGCGCTGCATGTCTTAGCTACGAGTCGGACGCTTCATCTTGCAGGACTCAGTCTACGGTTAAAACAGCCTACAAAAGCAGCAAAAGTGAGAAGAACGGAGGGTGTGTCAATTGTATGGAGGTGATTGGAGGCCAGTTTAATTATGAGAAGAGGTACAGTTCCAATCAGTCGCACGTGGGCGGTAGTAGTTTGACAGACGAATGCGCCAGTAGTGTCCACTCGGCCTTTACTGACGCGGTCAGTGGAGAATATTCTAGAAAGAATGCCTGGTTCTCGAGGGAGAAGAGGAAGCGAATCAAGAAGATGCTCAAGATGTACAATGCAGAGCACAATAGCAGCCCCACTGATATGCTCCAGCAGAATCTCCCCAATCCACAGAAGAGCCAAAGTAGCCGAAAAGTCCTCTTGGCAGAACTCTAGTCGACATTCATTCATTTTTATCATATGGACCAAAACAGTAAAACACTTTTTGCTAAACAAAGCAGATTTGACTGAGTTGTTAGAAATTAATTAGTTGACTTTGTAATTTAAATTCAATTCAATTTTAATAAATATAGATAGTTTTTTATTTAAAAAAAAGTTGCGACAAAAGTTCTCTGAATAAACAAAAACAATCAGCCAATCACATCCAACCAATTTAAGGCAGAAATAATGTGATAACTGGGGAGCGTAACTTTAGCTTTATAGACAAAAAACATTAGAAAAAGAAAAAAACTTAGTTTTTGATGACTTTTGTTTCAAACGCAACAGCAAAAGTTCCAAAAACTACATTTTAATTGCTCAGAAAAAAAATATTCTTCTCCTCAATGTAAATATGACCCATATTTTTATAACGAATAAAATTCACAACAATTATCCAAAATTTTTAAAAAAATGGCTTTAGAAAGTTTCCGCCAGCAACTGCGCGACTCTTTTGATACAGACCCAAAAACTATCAGAAACTTAACGACAAAATATTCCCTGAAAATTGGATACAAAATTTTCTGCCGCCCGAACATGAAAAATTAAAATAATAAAAAAAGAAGCTTCCTCAAATTCCAAAACAGAGAACTTGGCATTAATGGACCTAGGGCATCAACAAGTAATGAACAACAAATGTTATTCGACGCAAGTCCAGAAAATTGGGTAGCAATTTGTTGCTCCCAAAAATGCCTTAAATGTTTTTTTTTTACCAGAAAAAGTTAAAATTATTGTACTTAAACTTGCTTGCTGTGAAGCAGAAAAGCTCCGAAACTTACCTTCAAATACAAGCGCAATATGTTTCCGGTATTATAAAAACTGAATTTTGGCGGCTCTGCTCTGCAGTTTTGCAGTTACATCCATTTAACAGTAGCAAACTTCAGGAAAATTCAGTTACTTGGATGCCAATGCAATATCGAAAGTCTGCTGCCAAGCAGAAAAAGGCCAGTGACATTTTTAGTTCTGGCTCAGCTATCAATTACTGACCTAGGTTTAAAAATTTCTAAGACTGGTCATTAATTTTGGGATAAACTTAATTGCAATTGAAATTTGGTCATTTTTGATCGCCCGTTTGATCCCCAAGCAGCAAGAAAAATAGGCAACCACATTGAAATCCGTCGCACGTTGGTAGAGCCAGACCATCTTTTTGGACTATGGTTTTTAATCTAAAATCTCAAAAAATCTCTTCATATTTTTTTCGACTGGAACAAGAGGAGCCGAAAGCGGCTCAAAAATCAAAAAGAAACGGTTAAATTCAAAAACTGATTGACTTAAATCTCTTTATCAAGTTGAAAACGTATTAGACAAATATGAACTAACAGAACCTGTTTTTTGTTAACTTATAATGTTAAAAAATAACTTTTGTTTTGGCCATGTCTTAATTGTTTTCCGTTTATTGCTCCGATTTTTGTAACAAAAGTAACGGAATATTTGTGCTCGGGGTGAGTTTTTTTCCTCAGACAAATTTCGACTTTTTAACTAGCCATTTTTGACGGGATTTTTTTTTTACATCATTCGAAAGCTATTGTTGTCCTGATCTTAAATTTGTAAAGATATTTCACCTGTGATCATTTTTTTGTTAAGTTATGGAGGTTTAAAGGTTGCCATTTTGGGAAAATTAAACGCGCGACATTTCGCGCTTCGCGTAAGAGGAGATTTAATCCGTCTTTTCAGTCTAAACTGTAGGTTCAAATTTAAAAAGAAGCTCAAACTACTCTTAAACCTTCTTAAAACTTTTTGAGTACAAGTGATTAGAGAAGTAAGAGTAATTAAAGCTTCTTTTTGAGTTTGTTTGTACAGGTTAAATTGACAAGCAAAATCAGACCATTTTCTTACGGTGAGAAAGCGTGTGCACAAAGTGTGTGCCCATGAATGAAAAAGTTTCCACGTGATATGCCACTCGAACCGAAAGAGTTTTTTGCTGTTCCTGATTTTGGCCGAGACAAAAACCACAACTGAAAAAAAAACGTTTCGCATCCGATAAAATTTGAGCTCTCAGATACAAGAAACAGATGTTTTCCTATAAGAACTATGAAAAGAGCCAATCAAAGACGCTAAAGTTCGGACGAAAGATTTAAACCAAAAACTGAAGTCAAATTTGAGCATGCAACCCGCTAGCTGACATAAATTGGTTGCTAGATGTTACCGAGCTTTTCAAAGTATTCATTAGGTCTGCGCAAAAAAAAGTTTTGATCTGAGCAATAATACAATATTAAAACGCAGGCATTGTCCTGTGTTCAAGTTTTCGTAGTAAATTCAAAGAATTGAATCTGAGTTAACTAAAAAAAAATTGCGTTTTTTTTTCACTCAAGCAAAAGTCTAATACAATTGTGGTCAAGAAATGAGCATTGTTGGTGCCTTGAGTTTAAACATTTTAGTATTGGCAGTTTAATAGCATGTGTTAAATCCATGATTTGGTGGTTGCAAAGCTATACCAAACTGTTCTTATCAGGGCGAAGCCCTGAATGTTCCGACTGCTTTTTAAGTTTTATGGAGCAGCAGTAATAACATAAAATAATTAATTGAAATAAAATAAAATGAAAATTTTTTTTCTTAAGTTTGAATTTTTTCATTGAAAATCATCCCCCCACACGCCGTACAAACTACAAAAGAATAAATTTCGCACCTTTTAACAAATCAATTATGGCATATAAGCTTCTTTCAATTAATTTGGAACGATTTCTAAGACGGATTAAATCTCCGCTCACGCATTAATAGCGCGAAATATAAAGCGCGTTAATTGTCCCAAATTGGCCGAAATGGCAATCTTTAAACCCCCATAACTTTACTTTAAAAATAATCACATCTAAAATATCTTTTCAAGTTTAAGCTCAAGACAACAATACCTTTCAAACGATATAAAAAACTCCGTCAAAAATGGCTAGTTAAAAAGTCGAAATTTGTCTGAAGAAAAAAAAACCCATCCAAGCACAAATATTCAGTTACTTTCGTATCAAAAGTCGGAACAATAACAAGACTGCTCGTATATCAGGGCAAAGCCCTGAATGTTCCGACTCTCCCTTAATTCATATTGATCAATTTTTGTTCAGACTTTCGATACGAAAGTAATGGGTTTTTTTTCTTCAGACAACTTTCGACTTTTTAACTAGCCATTTTGACGGAATTTTTGATATCATTCAAAAGGTATTGTTGTCCTGAGCTTAAACTTGAAAAGATAGTTCACCTGTGATCATTTTCAAAGTAAAGTTATGGTGGTTTAAAGATCTGCCAATTTTGGACAATTAACGCGGGATATATTTCGCGCTATTAATGCGTGAGCGGAGATTTAATCCGTCTTAGAAATCGTTCCAAACTGGTTGAAAGAAGCTTACTTGCCACAATTGACTTGTTACAAGAGCGAAATCTATCCTTTTGTAATGTACATGGCGTGTGGGGGGATGATTTTTATAAAAAGTTTCAAATTTTAGAAAAAAAATTTCATTTTATTTTATAACACTTAATTTTTTTATGTTATTACTGCTCCATAAACCTTAAAAGGCAGTCAGAACATTGAAGGCTTCGCCCTGATACGAGCAGTCTTGTTTTTTTTAACATTTAATGTAATAACATCAAACGCGACATCCTTTTCCATATTTCACTGAATGGCCTCCATTAACTTGAGTATATCCCCCGTATTTTCTGCAATTTTTGAAACTTCTATTTTTGAATTTGAGTTTTGCTTGGAAATATTTGAAGATGAATGGTAGCATTCTGCACCTCGTACGAAATTAATGGTCGATTAGTTATGAATCAGTTCTTAATTCATTCTTAATCTAATTCCTATTTTTTTACTACATCTGAAGTAGATTTTCAGAGTAACGTTTCAATAGTTCCCTATAACTACCAGAAGAAAGCCAGCATAGTACATTTTCCTGTACGCTCTGAGTTGTTTTTTTTTCAGAAAGTGATATTATAATCGAAAATTTAAGTGTTATCTACATTATAAAACTAACATTGCGTTAAACTTCCAGAAGTTGAATGAAAGAGTTTGAATCAAAGTTAATTCTAGAGGTGATTAAGTCTAATTTGTGTAGATAAATGAATTTTAAAATTCACTTTATCTTTTTGAGCTCTAAACCTAAACGCAAAGCGTCGATCGGCGAGCTACTGACCACTAAGTCTTTGCAGCATTCTAGGAAGAACATTGGGCATTCCTTCTGCCAACCTCGTAACTCTTTCAGCATTTCTCCATCAAAATTCCTTTTTTCAGCTTTATCAGATAGCTGCATGCCAATAGAATGCAACCATTCCCTCACTTGACTTTCAGTCCAAGAAAAGAATTCGAGCTCTTTCGCTACTTGCACAGTGGTTTGTGCCGATGTTGCAGCTCCTCCTGATTTGGAATTGGTGCCCCCTTCGATGCTGTGGACGCGACCCAGAACTTCGGGCAGTTTCTCCTCCACGCTAGACATGTCTGGGATCTCGTAGTAGAGAGCGTTGCCCATCATAATTCCCAGCCACCCGTTGGGGGCGAAGTCAGGCTGGGTCTTCACGTAGATCACCTGCTTCTTCAGTCTGAAACAAACTAGTTTTTCTATTAGTCTCAAAGCGATTAGATAAAAAACGCCCCACTCCAAAATGATGACTCAAATCTAGGTTGTGCATATAAGTGACAAATACGCGTCGCCCAAATTCACTGACAAAAATTTTCAAAGAACGTGTCATCAGGCCCGGAATGGCAATTTCCACACATCATTGTTATATAGATATGGGTCAATGAAGACAAAGTGTCAAGTATCTAAAAGCGCAGAAACTGAATTAACAGTTTACAAACCAGTTGTCCTATTCGCCAAGTTAGTGCACAAAATGGAGGAGGCAACAGAAACAACCATAGCCGAAGCGAAATCAAAAATGATTAAAAATGGGGGAGTCAGATGGGGGACTCGGATCGTGAAGAAAACTTTTCCGACCCAAGATGGCACCCTCTTAGTACAACGAGAACAACAAACAAAGCAGTGACCAGAAAGAATACCGGAAACTTCTCTTGTGGACTCTACTTCAGCAACAAAAGGAAACAATCAGGAAACAGGTGTGAAAGCTAGACGAGCAACAGTCCTTGAACGAGAAAAGCTAAACGTAGGATTTATGGTAAAAAAAGGACAGGTACCTCAAAACTTCAAAAAAATGATGAGAACAAGTAGCAAAGAAATCAATAAGAACAGCCACAAAAGTGGCAGACCCATAAAGATTTTTTTGAAAAAGTACAAAATAACTGCCGGCAAAGCTCTGACATTCACAGCTTGGGTGCGAAAATAAGGAAAACAGCCACGTTTACTAAGAAAAAGAGAATTTGCTTTCGTTCTGAACCCATTGACTTTTGACTACGCAGACCATCACGGTAAAATGATTACGTAGCATAAAAAGCCGCACGGAGAACGGTGTTGTTAGCATTTAACAACCTAACTCACCACAACAGCCCATGCTGGAGGAGGACACAGTGCCCGGAAGGCCAATGAAGCCCAGCGAGGAAGAAAGCAGGAGTAGACAACGCATGATAGCAAAAAGAAGATTTAGGCGAAAAAAGGACAGGTGGAAAACGGGAACAGAAAACACCCACGCGGGGAATGAGTTTCCAGTCAGAAGACCAGAATACATGCAGCAAGGAACCTGCCAAGAAAGCAGTTACACCACAGCCGTCAACTTCATCAAGTGAAGAATGACCTTCAACGTCAGAGAACACCGTGCCGTCATCAAAAAGAATTAATCAGAAAAAAAACACCATCAGAAGTGACAGAGACAACAAGAAAAACTGTGAGAAACAAAGAGTCAGCACTAGCCGGCGCACTAGATGTCTCAATAAATGCGCTCGAGGACACACAGAATATTACACAGAAAAAACCATTTGCGATAAGCTCATCAACCAACTAAATACCAAAAAAACCGAAGAAGATAAGTCCGATCAAAGATATGGGGCTCAACAAATTATTACACGAATTCCATCAAACCAAAACCAAATGGTAAAACAATAGACGTTGTTGACTTAGTTTCTCCTTATCCTAATACAAACTCGCAAGCAAACCAGCATGAGATATTGTTCGTAATTGACACACATAGCGAGAAGACCGCAGACAACCACACGAAGGAAGAGACTGACGCATCCCAGAAAGATGCAAAACACCAAGAGGACGTGGACGAGGGAAAGACAAAAAACGAAGCAGAGGTTAAAGCAGCAATTCAACTTCCCGAGAAAGACTACAAAGTGAAATTGCAGTCCCACGGGGGCTCAAAAACTCAATATAGTCCCATAGTGGACTGATAAACTCCAGTCCAACAGCGATTTAAAACTCGATGAGTTTTAACCAGGGAAAATGTTATCTGGCCAAGATTGGCAAATTCCGGAATGGAAACTTCGTATACATGATTGTTAAATATATTTGACCAACATAATTAATCATCGAAATGTATCTATAAAACTTTCATGAACAAATCAGCCACAAAGGCATTTATCTTATCAACCCCATTCTTATCTTTTATGTCTTCCACTGGCAACTCAGAAAACACTATCTCTCACACCTGAAGTATTTTATCCGGAAGCGCCAACGCAACTGCTCCTCCTCGTTTTACTTTCCCCAAGTCTGTAACCTCACGCCACGCTTTGAGTTCGGTCACATATCGATCATAAGGTTTCTTCACACTGTCGAAATTAGGCAGATTCGTGAGTATAAATATATATATATATATATATATATATAAAAGGTACGTGAATTTTGATCTTTTCCTCATAAAGTCAGGAATGAAGATGGACGAAATTTTTTTGGAGTTTGAAAAACGATACAACAAAGTAAAAAGGAGTTACCGCAAGCAGTTTTGGCTTCCAAATTTTAACAGGGCTGGAACACAAGGACAGAAAACTTCTTCAGACTGCTGTGGATTATCGTCTGAAAGGAACTCTTTTCACTCAGACTAACGCATATTTGCGTAAGTGTTTTAGAGATCAGTCTTGTAGACCGGAGTCAAATGGACCAGCTATCAGGACTGAAGAAGTCAATGCGGCATGGATTGGCAGGAGAGGAGCTTACTCGAAACGGGCATGGCTTTGCAAGTTGGGGTTCTTTTCTAGGTGGATTTAACAATCGCGGAAACACAGGTCAGTTTAGTTGAATTCAGTTTGGTGGTAGTCAATCTGGGATACAGAAGAAGAATATGAATCCGTCAGATGCGGACGGTAATCCAATGAGGTGCCGTTCTTGTGATTCAGTCCATTATTTAGGGAAGGATTGTCCTCATTCATATGAAAACTTGAAGAAAGTTTTCTGGGCAATCTGGGCAACTGGTCATGACTCAGAAGAAGTAGCCCTTTTCACAGGAGCTTTGAGACAAGACACTTATGTATGTATATATAGATACATTTTGATGATTATATATGTTGGTCAAATGACCTTGTGTATATGAACACAAATTGATTGTGCAAACAGTGCAGAACCTAAATAAATAGTTTACAAACCAGTTGTCCTATTCGCGTTAGGACAAGTTATCGTAGTTTGCCAATCCGTTCGGATTCGGTATTAAACATGGCTCATGCTCGACGGTGTGACAGAACGAAACAGACCTTTGGAAATTAACATAATGCGGGCCAAGAGAGGTGTCAATCAAACCATATGCGACCTACCTTATGAAAAAAAATTACTTCCATCCTATTGATTTCAAGTTGCGTAATCTTTCTAGGTTTCTTCACATGTTTATAACACAAAGGAACTCGTTCGTTTTTCTTTAGATAATGTTATAGTGGTGTAAGCATAACCTGAATGCGTATTCTGCTTCGGATCTGCACGCCTGACTGTTCTTGTAGTCCTCCGAGTAGCAGCATATGATCACACTTGCATTCTCAATGGCCTCGGCCATTCGTTCTAGAATATTCCCCTCCATCTTCTCTATGTCTATCCACACTTTTTTGCCCGACTGTTTGAACTTCTCTGACAGTTCTCTCGCTACTTCCTTCTGCTTCCAGCAGTAGCTTATCATCACATGCTGTTCCTCGGGGTCTTCAGACACCTTCTGTTGCCCACTCTGAGGCTGGTCTACATTAAGTTGGAACAAGATTCCAGAAGCTGCCGCTTTCACATCCTCACTATGATGCTTCTTCATCGTTTTGATCGTGTCTATCAGCAGAGTGTTCGCAATGATGATCTCAGCCGCACTTTTCTGGAAAGCCAGAGTCCACAGAGTTTCCAGACCGAGTTGTAGCTCCTGCTCATTCTTATGGGACACTATCGCTTTGTTGCATGTGTCCACGAGACCTTTCGGTATCAGCGTTTCCGCATTGTCAGCGTTCTTCACCAGTCGCAGTATACATGCTAGGATATCTGCGGCCGAGAATCCGATGGATGAATTGTGGTCCGAGTCTTGCAGAGACTCCTGCAGGATGCTGTGGATATAGACCAAGTTGAACTGAGTCGCTTTGAGAGCATCCGGGTTGGCGTCCAAATCAGCCGCGTACGAGAGCACGAACAGAAGTTCGTTGGTCAGTCTATTGTCATTGGAGCCAACATGCATGTAATGGGTGCATAGCTCTACCAGTCCCGCTTTTCGAAGAACCAGCCTCGAGTCTGGGTATGACCTCATTTCGTTGTAGCAACAACACAGCAGCCTGAACACTCGCTCCTCTGATTCGCTTGTTGGCAACTCATACACACTTTTATCCCTCATGCAGTTCAGAAAGGTCAGATGGAGGTCAACTTGAATAACAGCTCTGCCTATTTCTTCAGACCCATTGTAGAGTAAGTTCTGCATCAACACCATTAGCCTTGTTGTGTTATTACCCCAGTGATTAATCGGGTCTGCTTTCTGGTCCAAGATCTTTTTGATGACCTCGAGTAATCCCGATGCTACCAAATGCGCGCTGTAAGCATGTTTGTGTTGTTCCGTGCGGAGGGTTCGGACTGCTTCATGATGATTGAAATAGTTAATTTGAGCTGCGAAATCTTCATTCAAGTTGGCTCCTTTTAATGCTTCCACAAATGATTCTAACTTTTTGATCTTTTCTTCCATTTTGATGCTTTCTTATATTTTAACCAAATCAGCTCAGCAAACTAATTCAATATGAAGAGTGATTGAGATATGAAGTTGATCTGAAGTTGGTTCTCGAAGTTTGCTTTTAACGAATTCATTTACTTTGTCGATTACTAAAATGTTGAACCCAGAAGTGGTATAACAATGATTGCTTACTGACGCTAAAAACTTCTGCCATTTGTTGAAGGTTCTTTAATAAATCAAATTCACATATTCCATATTATGAACACTTTAATGACAAACAAAAACAATCCACCAACATTTTATGTCCTCTAAATTTTGGATCATGATAATTTTAACACACACACACAAAACTGCCACTATCAAAATTTGGTACATATACAAAAACAGTCCAACACAAAATAGTCCAAAAAATCATGTAATGAAGGAAAAAACCGTCCAATACAAAACAGTCCGGCTTAAGGTCGCCGGCGATAACCGGCTCTAAATTTCGTATTAAGTCCTACCTTCTGTTAGCAAGCTCGCAACACGTTGGCGCGACTGCAGCGGCCACTATTTTCTTCGTTATGTTTGTTGAACAAAGGACAATTCTCGGTCTACCAGCTTGTTGAAACAATTATTACTTGGGACTGTTTTGTATCGGAATGTTTTTCGGTTATTTTCATACTTTTCCGGACTGTTTTATTTTTTGAAACCTTTCGAATTTTTTAAAAACATAATGCATAAATGAAAAACTGATTTTTATACAGAAGCAAAGAAACTTTAGTGGATAGACAATACATTTTTGCAGCAATGGGGTCTCATTTAAAGCAATAGTTTATTGAACGCAACCGGATACAAAAATACCATGGATTGGGTATTACTGGCCTCGCAGAAGATTTTGCATACTGTTGGCCAGGAAATTTTGGTTGAAGAATGCAAAACCTATGATTTTGACTGGTTATTTGAAAAATTTGTGAGTCATCAGATTATTGTTCCGACTATTGAAAATGGGAAGGAACGTTCTATTCGGGCCTGTTTTACTTTCTTTTTTTTTCTTGCACACTCAGATACCATAAACAATATTTGGACTGGGTTGAGTGATATATCATACTAAAGCCCTTACAGTTGTGATTCGACCCACAATAAAATATTTCAAAAAAATTCCCAGTGTCGAGAAAAACCGATTTAAAATTTCTGATTTTTCGTCTCATTTCGAGCGAATAAAGCGAGCGAGCAGTTTTATTTTAATTGGCTAAAAGCTTACATTAGCCAATTTAAAACGTATAAACTTAGTTTTACTTGGGTAACATTAGTTTACTTTGAGTATTTTTGCTATTTTTTTTAGTTTTACAATTTTTTTTAGTTTTCTGCAAAAATTGTTTTACAATTTGCTTAATTTAGTATGGCTGTCGAATATACCTAACGCTCAGCTCCTTTTTTGACACTTTGCCGAAAAAAAATAATTTGAAAACAACTTTGTTGTCTTTTTTAAAGACTATGGTGGGAACATTCTGTGCTACTTGTACAGTAACCAGCTATCCTTGATTCGTCTTGTTTTTGACTGGCTATTTGAAACTTTTTCAATGTCAAATGTGCCTCATATACTATATGCGTCCAATATTTACTCACTATAATTGTTTTTTTTCCCAAAAAATGTAGAATCACAATCATAATATGTTTTATTAATAATTAAAACTATTCCTTAACTAAGATGAGTTAAAAACTGAATTCCAGAAGATCCTTTCTTCATTCACTTTCACTCTTATTTATTTTTGTAGACTTTTTTGTTCCGACTTTTGAAGAAAATGAGGACTATAAATGTTCGGAGCATTTTTTATTCAGATCATTTTTCAAAACCAAATCTCTGTGATCGATCCATGGATCTTCGTTGGCCTCGCTGGGATCGCACATCACTGTATCCACCTCACACGCATTTTAGATTTGTGAGGCGTCATGGAGCTTACTGAGGGCTGTTGATCTATATTTTCAATAATTGGAAATTTATGTAAAATTTTAATATTTCAGTTTCAATTAGAAGACATGTTTCGTTTGCATCATATCCAAAGCAACTACCATCGTTTCATTCTTTTTGATCATTTATTGATTTTTTGAAGTATTTTTAAATGTGAAACGTGTTTCCGTATTCTGACTTCTCTATAATTTTCATTTTCTTGGCTTTTTTAAATCTTTTCCAGGTAATACTTTCAAATGGGGCTCTATAGCAAAAACTACTTTTGGAACTGTTTGGTTCAATCCATCATGGGGACCAAGTTAACATCTCTCTCCAAAGCCGTTTTTTTTGGGGGGGGGGATGTTAAGTTGGTACTAAATTACGAACTTTTAACCAATCAGAATCGAGCATTTTACAAGCAGATCAAATGCTAAGATGGAACATTTTAATGATCTTACCTTGGTATATCTGGAGGGGGGGAAGGATATGCTTTTCTGTCAACTATCTAGGAACCGATCTATCCATCAGGTGAACTAAAAGTTCCGTTCAGTTCACAAAAGGTTTTGAGACGACTGTTTCATAGATTAGAGTTTATAATTAGAAGCAAAAAGTTCGAACAGACAGAATTAATTAAAATGAGCAATCAGTGCTTTCCGACGTTTTTTGCATGCAAAATCTGAAGCCGAACAACTTTGAATTTTTTGTCAGAATACATTCAAATTGTAAGCTACCGTTTTTTAATGTTTTACAAAGACGAATATCAAGGATTCAATTTCAACCGCAAAAATTGAAAGATCAGTCCGCCCAAAAAAAAACAAACGTAATTGAAGATGATCAAATCATTCTTAATTTGGAAAATAATCGCAGAAAAACATTAGCCACCCTGAGCAAAATTTTTCCTGGTTCATGGTACACCATTCGACGCTTTAATTGCCTACCGTGGTTATAGGTTTTGCGCGAAAACTCTGCTTTATGAACTTTCGACGCTATGTTTATTTCAATTTTAATTTCCGTTGATGTCTAGACAGTTGCTCTTTTTAATTAATTCTGTCTGTCCGAACTTTTTGCAACTCTCTATAGACATAAAACTAAAGTCACTGCTTGTTTTTGCCTGCTTGAATGCGAAAATTGTTAAACGGTTTTTTAATATTTTGAGCTACCAAAGGGCTGGCAGCAGCTAAGAGAAGAAAGTGGTCAAAACATATGATGTTACTGCTGCCTTTCGAGGTGCGATTATTTGTCATAATCAATTGCAGAAAAGAAAAGCATAGCTAAATTAGTGAATTTCTTTGAATGTTGATACAAATAAGTGGTGAACAACAAATTAGTGAAAATTAGCATTCCTTCTGTGGCCTTGAGGTGTTCTCGATGTGAAATGACTGTCTAGAAGGATCTTTACTTTTGTGGATTCATTTTATACGAGAATGGACGGACAAGCCGCTTTTTGACAATCTCATCTTCCTCGTCGTTGTCTTCAGTTTCTTCACGCCCTCCTTCCTCAACTTCATCGTCTTCCTCTTCTTCTTCTTGTTCAGCTCTGTCTAATTCGTCTGCTATCTCTTCTGCAATTCGTCTCAAACGTTCTTTTTCAACCTCGTCTTCAGATTCGTCGGGATAATCATTCAGAATCCCAAACACATCAGCAGCTCCTCGTTTTCTGGCCTCTACCGTTTGGTAGGGGTACATGTTGGTCCCGCTTATTCCCTCGGACAGTCGCTTGTGACTCCACACTGGACGGAAGTGTCTTCTCGCTCCGCAGTCGCCCAAGAAACACAACCCAACAACCAGAGCTGAGAGGAGAAAAATTGGCGCCAAATTGGACTTCAACATTTCAAAAAGCGCTTTTGAATTCAGTTAATCAAAATCTGACAACGTTAGTTGAGAACTGGGCGTTTTTTTTCAGATTTTTTGAAGCTGTTTATTTTTGACACCGCTGTTTATTTGTTTGTTTGCCGACCGTCAGCTTTGATTTTTATAACTGTAGATAGTTAATATTATCAATGTGACTGCAATTGTTTGGATAGTGGTTGAAGGAATCTTGAGTTGGATGGATTGTGCAAAATTAATATAGCACCTCCGGGACTGAAGAGGCCGAGTGGACTGGAATTGAAGAAAGGAAGTATTGTGATTGATTCAATACCGCTAATGTTTTATTATTTGCTAAGTCTGATGGCTGCTTCCAAAGGAATCAAAGAAGAGCTGGCATGAAAAATGTATGGATGATCTTGACAGTTGAACACACCTGCGCACAGGAAGCACTCTTGAACAAAAAGAGAGAAATAAGAAAAGAGAAAAACGCTGTCCAAAATTTACGAAAAAACAAAGAAGTTTCAAAGGTAACATCGGAAGAAAATAAATATGACGCAGACCTTTTCCGGCAGGAAAAAAACAGTATTCAGTATTGACCACCTGAATTATCGATAGCACTGAACATATTGAGAAACGGCTTTAATCCTATATTTGAGAGCCGGCTTTGAAGTTACTTCTCATTTGGGAGAAATAACTTTGCTAATTTTTTATTCAAGCAATAAAATATTGCAAGGCCAGGACATTATGGTCTTCATCCAGAAGTAGTTTCTTCCATTCTTAGACGCCAGATGTTGCTGTTTTGTCGCTAGTCTACATTTAAGACGAAGGTTAAGGGTCCATGTCTTTCCCACTTGGGCCCAATTTAACTCGAAATCCTTATATTAACACAACTTCGAAGAACAGGAAAAGCTTACTTTTTACAGAAGAAGTAGCAATACTTCTGGAAAATTTTTGATGACTGAAGAAAAAAATTTTTTCTGCTCGCACCATAAAATTGGGGGCACCATAAAATCGCACCATAAATTGTCATTTAATTCTCGTAACATGAAGCAATTTTTATGCATGGACGGAAATTTTTACTTTGCACAATATTGCATATTTGCACAAAAAAGTGAATAATCAACAGGCTTAATTTCCAACAAGTTCAAAAACGGAATTGAGCGGGTGTTGCATTATAGTTATTTCATTCATTGGTGACTTCAAACTGTTCATGTGAAAAACCTAATGCCTTTTAAATTACAGAAGTTTACTATGCTGTTACAGAATTTGAGTTTAAAACAGTATTGCAGAAAAACTAGCTCTCCTAACGAAGTCAGAGGAAAGAGAAACAAACATACAAGACTTCGAAGCTAAATTGAATGTGATTACCTCTTTCTGAGGACGCAACTTGCCACGCTCACTTTCACCGCAGATATTTTCCCCTTATACCGTGGCTATGGCAGCATACACTAATGGCAGCATACACTAAGGCACAAAATTATCTATAATCCTGAAAAAGTTATATTGATGATCAGACACTATCAGCGAAGTTTCCCTTTATTGCTCCTTTGAGTTTTGTTGAAAAAAAAACTAAGTGAACCAAAAAAAACTAAGTGAAAACCAAAGTCTCGATAAAAAACAACTAGGAGTCCAACTATAGCTGGAAGTAGCTGTTTAATATTGTTAGAAACTGTTATAATGATGCGGGATGAAATGGGTTTTTCAAAAAATGGACTTTGCCCAAAAACTGGGTTTCTCGAATGAACACTTAACCTGAGAACTGGCACGTTAGTTTTTGCGTAAAGTCAAAAGGTTTCCAAGAAACGGTCAAAGTTTCAAAATTTTGACCGGTATGAAGGCCATATATTTTTTTGAAAATATGGGCGTAACCAACTGTAAAATGAAGTTTGGAACGACCTGTTGTTTCGATTAAACCTACCATATCAGATTTGGCAGGATAGTTAGCGAGAAAAACTAAAAAAAAATCGAAATCAAACGGTCAAAAAAATCAAAACTTTGACTTTTCCGAGGACCATAACTTATGATGTCAAAAAATTTTGGGCTGTCGCATAAGCAATCGAGCTTCACACAAACCGTTGTTTGAATTGAAATCAAAATTTTAGAAATGGCTGGGTAGTTTTTGAGATAAATCGAAAAAATTTAAAAAAAAAACAGTCAAAACAGTGAACGCACAACTCAGATTTGAGAGGCTAGTTTTCGAGAAGTTTCATTTTTCCGAGGGCTTTAACTTTGCGTGAAAATTCGGTTGTCGCCGTTTATACAGGGAAGCTTTTCAAATCCATTCCATTCATTGAAACCAAAAACTCAAAATTGAGAACGGCAGTATTCGAGAAAAAGAAATGAATCAAAAAAGAGGGTCAATTAATCCCTCACAGATTTTTTGAAGGCTGAAGACCTAGGGGCTAAATAAAAACAAAAAAAGTAGGGAGTATGTAGGGCAGTACAAAGTTGTAGATGGTTTTTCCCTCTTTTCATTGATATTACTTATTTGAAAATCAGCAGATGTTTCTAAGTAAAAACTTTTATAAAAGTTTTCAAAAAAAATCAACAAAACGAGTGGTAAACATACAAACAAGTTAGAAAGTTGCAGAAAGGAGTGTACAAATTGTGTTTCCTTCGGAAGACCCCATATTATGTTACTAAACCAATGAAAAATAGGCCTAAATAATTTGGGCCGAAGAATGTTTTCAAGCAAACAAAAAAAAAAGGAAATACAAAGTCAAACTAAGGAAAATAACATATTGTAGGAATACATGAAAAACTAACAGTAACATTAACAATAGATGCGCGCAACAAAATAAAAATAAATCTGAGAGGTGACAATTAAGCTGACAATTTTATTTGAAATAGAATAAATGCCGTTTGAAAAAAAGAAGTCATTGTCAGATTCGAACCCAGGACCTTTGCCATCCCAGGCGTATTCGTTTTCTCCAGGCTAAGTTGACTAGGAAAATCGAATTTATTTTAAAACAAGATACTTTTAGAGATGAGTCAAGAAGTCTTAACGAGTCCTGTGAACAAAGTTATTTACGGGAAAAAAGACTAGTGAAAAAAGACTAGTAATCGCTCATTAATTGTCCCAAACTTCGCAATCTTTAAGCGCCCATGCCGTTATGAAAAATGAGCACAGGTTAAATAATTTCGAATAATATAAACAAAAACAGTCAAAAAATGCTAGTTGAAATTTGACTCGCAAAAAAACATGCGCACAAATTTTCCGTCATTCTCATCGAAAATTGTCGGGACGAAAATCAAAGTGACCAGATTTCAATTCTAATTTTTTGCATTTTAGAAACACATATATCAAGCAAAAATTAATGTATTGAAGCAAAAATCTTGATTTCTGAGAAAAAAATACCAACTAAAAAAGCAAACCCATTTGTTTATGAACTGTTGAAAAAATCAAGGTGAACCAAACGCTCGCACGTAACGATAAAAGGCAACTAGGGGGCCTAAATAAGGCTAAAGGTAATTGTAAGATTTCTTTCGGGTGTTATACTGATGCGGAAATAAATGAGTAATTTAAACAATTGGACTTTTCCCAAAATCATTGTTGTTTCTCTTGTAAAATAGAAACAATTTTAGTTAAGATTTTTGAAAAATTGCAATCTTTCCTAATAAATATTTTTTTTGAACAAAAAATAAGGAATTGCCGCTTTTGTAAGCAAATCTCAAAACCGGTTCGTTCGAATGAAGCCTTCATATGAGAGTATTTTCAGAAAATCGAGTTTCTAAAAAACTGTCGAAAGTTCAAAAACTTGACTTTTCGAAACAATTTTTTTCTGCAATAAGGTCGTATAAGATAAGATTCCTGAAACCGGGTTTCTCCATTGAACCTGAACATTTAACCTATAAATTGGCAGAGTAGTTTTTCGAGAAGTCGAAAAAGTTTCCCAAAAACGGTCAATAAATCAAAAGTTTGGTTTTTGCCAATGATACCTTTGTGTAGAAGAAAAATTACTACCCATAACGTACTTTACCTATCGAGTCCTAGATAAGGTAATTAGAATTGAATTTTCAAGAAATTCAGCATGTCTTGAAATTTACCATTCCGACAAAATTGACAATTCTGTGAACAAACTTAATTACAGGAGAAAAGTCTACTTGATTGCAATACTCTTGCTTATCGCAAGGGTAACAATCGTTTGCTTATAAAAAATGCTCAACTTGAACCATACATGTTTTTACAGACCCTCAGTTTTCAGATAGTCCATCTCTCAATCAGACATTTTCCGAGATTTTCTTTGCCTCATCATCTAATTTTTATTGCAGGCCTTAAAAAACTTATTGAAAAAAATTATTTTGCAGCGTGAACTAATTGGGGCCAGGTTTTTTTGCTGTTGTTTAGATACTTAAAAAACTTTAAACACAGGAGGCGAAGTTGCACTTCGCATACACAAGCAAAAATACGCAAGCCAATTATGACGCATTAGTAGTACCAGTCAATTTGAAAAAAGAAATTAATCTACCAACATGCCTCAATTTATAGAGAGCACGCATTTTAACTAGATTACGAAAAACTTCATTAAAAACATCCGACCCTGCCCAGGTTCGAACCCTCTTAGGTTGTTGCGGGTCTCCTTCCCTAACTCTACGCTAGAGATGCATGATACCTAGAAGCTAAATAGCTATTTGTAATATAATAGTCTGTGTTAATATCCTTAGCATTGGCTGTACTTAATAGCTGGTTATTGGTCAAAATTAACACTTTCAAAATGAACACATCATTTTGTCGCAACAATATTGGCGACTTAGGTTGGAAAAATAGATAGTTCATACTATAACACAAGCTTTGCTTGTGTAAATATGGAGGCTAATGATTCAAAATTGTTAAATGTTAAAGAGTCAATTTTGAACAATTTGTACATTATTAACATATACTTAATTTACACTTTACATTAATCAACTAGAGTCCATTTTACAGGCTAAACCATTAACCAATCAGCTCTGATAGAAAGCCAACAACAGTCAAAACATCTGATGTACTGTTCTAATAGTGACGAGTTGAGGCATGTTAGAAGTTGCCTCTTTGAGCTCGCCTGTCAAAGTCAGTATCTGAGAGGCGGCGACTGTCTCGGGGGCAGAGGTCCCCCCATATCGCCCACTCTGTTGAACACATCAGCTGCTGTTTCCCCTCCTCCTCCCCCCAAGGGATGTCTCATATGATGACCCCCGCCCCCTCTCTCCCCAAGCTGGTCGCCCAAAAGTCTCCGCAAACGCATAATTTCTTCTTTGTACCTGAACAAAAAGCAATCATAAAGTTTGAAGAAGTAGTTTAATATCCAGTTTGAGTTCCCCACGTTAAGAGCAGACTTTCCGGCCTGAAAGACTGCTTCTGTCCAATTTGTGTATAAGAGTGAAATGCTCGGCCAAATTCGAAGTTGACCACAAGCTACAATTATCACCGCTATTTTGAACAAGTATGATCACCTCAATATGAATTAAACTTAATTAATTAAAGACATAGCCAATCAAAGATTGGAAAAGAACGATGAACGCAAGTTAACATAGAAAAACAGATTTTGTAGAAAAAATCTCATTTTTCGAACTTCAAAGAAAAAAATGGATGCATGTTAAGCTCTTTGAAATTCTAGAACAATTTAGGATTGGCGCTTTTTTCATAACATTAACCCAACTAGAAAAAACTGGATCAACAGGTAAAGTTTTTATTCCGCTGGAAATCTAAAAACTAAATTCCACTTACGAAATTAGAAATCGTTCATGTTTTTTTGCGCCATTTCGACGTTCGTATTTGGATAGTGATATTTACCTCACTTTCATCAGATGAATTTCAATAACTCAAAAAGTGCATATTTACCTAAGTGCATTCATAAGCGCAATAATATGTATGAATGCACATCTGTAGTTATTATAGACTTTTCCTGAAAAAAAAAACAAAAGAATCAGCAAGAGCTGTATGAGTCTTCACTACGCTCATTACTCTTAATAATTTGCCGACAATTTTATTTGAGAGAATATTTGAGGCACTCAAAAAATTTTCTAAAGGCGCCTTCGTTGCAATTATTTATTAACTTTGAGGGGGAAGCGCGCGCCGAAAAAACGCAATTTTTTCGCCAGTTTTCCAAAAAAAAAAATGCATAAAAACGCTTTTTGGCCCACTTTTTTTTTAAATTTTGCCAGCTACGCAGACAATTTGGCCGAAACAGAGTTTTTTAATGCTTTGAGAGAGCTCGGAAAGTTAATTTGATTAACCTAAAAAAAGGTCGAGAAAATGATTTTCGAACCTTTTTTGAAAATCCGCCGCCCCCTCGAGAGAATCTTAGATCCGCCCCTGCTTTCATTATCGGAAAATTAAGTTCACTAGCCATTCTGAATCACGAACGAGAAATTCACCACATTACATTTTACCAGATTACGGCCAAATTAGCGATTTTCAAATTTGATTTCAGGGAGTCGATATGTTCAATAGGGCATAAACATTTTTGTTAAAAACTAATATTTCGATTGCCGAAAATTGAGCAAATAAAAAAACCGCACCAAGCATAAATATTCCGGTTTCTTGGAAAGTCGGAACAATAAATATGTGTTTGTATTCTCTTCTCTGGATTTTAGGTCTTCTCTGTTTTCAAGCCTTCTTTCCTCAAAGACTGCTTAACAATCCGCTTTGCAGATCCACAAATCGGTTTATATCACACAGCTCATTAGTTATACAATCTTGCTATGTAAGCTTGGTTTGTTTTCTTGCTGAACAACCAGGAGCTAAGCACATAAAATTAATCTGAGATAAAAACATCGCCAAAAGCAGATCATTTTCAAGAAGTATTGAATCCAGATCAACTTTTAAACAGCCAGATTCATAAACTTCCTTTTTCTTTAATTCCAAACAAGATTATAGCTCAAGCTCAGAAAAAAAACCAAGGCAGTTCAATTCTGAAAACTTAACATATTTGCAAACTTAATTTGGATAAAACCAATTTATCAAAATACAATTTGAGTTCAAAGAAGTGCCTTTGAAATCAAATTTTACGCTTTGATACCTCGCTCCTTCTCTCAACCGAACAAGTGTGGATTATTGAGACAGAAATCCAGATAATGCCAGCGATATTTGTGGATAGGGGAGGGTATTTATACTCGACTGAGCCTTTGAATGCTCTTCGGTCCCCTCGCTTGTTTATCAGTTTAGGTCTGGATAATCGTCCTGTTTGTTTGGATCTCAAGTCATATGCAGGTGCGAAAGAACAGAACAACGACCGATATTCCACTCACAATTTGAAAGCTACTTTGAATCAATTTTCATGTTTGAAAACAAGCAATTTTGAGACCCAGTTCGACCCAAAAAACGATTCTAAAAAATCCTCGGCAAAATTTCTTTTAAACGAACAAATTGCTAAAAACTTGTCGTCGTCTTCACAATTTTAACTCAGAAGTTTCTTTTTATATTTTTCTGTTTTTATTCCGTGGCAAGATATGGAATAGGCTTTTGACATATTTTAGGGTAATCCTGACATTTGTCTTTCAGAGTAGTATGAAGTAGAATAAAAGGGTGTCAGCTTGCCCTGAGGCCATTAGAATAAGGCGGAAAGTGACAGGGGGTAAGAAAAGAGAAGAGCAGATTATGTCAGAGGGCAGATCGATACACTAGCTTCCCTCTCTAATGCTGAGAGAAAGAGAGAAGAGTCTTTATAATGATCCCTGGATTTCAGTCAATCAACCAAAATATTGGAGATACTTAATTGTTTGTTAATTGGTGAGTCGGTTTGCTCCATAATAGAATACTAATTTGAAACAGTTGAACACGCTCAGAGTTACAAGATATAAAAAGCTGATAAAAATCCTAAAAACAGCCGTGAAGATGAAAAAAGCTTAACTCTATAAGGTTAGCTGGATCACCTTTTGTAATATTGTAGTAACGACATTCATAAAGGGCAATGTCGCGATGAATAGTTATGCTTCGGTTTGGGTGACAAAAGACAGCAAACAGAGTGCTATCTGTTGCCCTATTGAAAGGCCCACTCATTTATGCACACGAACTTCTCACACAGGCTAAACGCATTTTGTAAACTCGAGCGAAAACCGCCAAAGGAAAAACCCAAGAAACACTCAAAAGATCAACATCAAAAAAACCTTCCAGATTTGAACACGAGCCAATACACTAAGACATCCAATATTAAACCATACACTCAATAGACTTTCTTACAAAAGTATTGAAAAGAAAAGCCTGTCATCTCATACCAGTCCACGAGTATTGCTTCCAAAAAATACAAAAAACTAACAGATCGAGGTTGATTACTTAGTTTTGGTTATTTTCAGCACATTTAGTGGAAGGTTATTAGTTTCGTTGTCTCGGCCAAGTCTCACATTGCGGCTTCCATCGGGGAGCCTTTGGGTAGTACTTGGCCCCGATGTAGTAAGTAAAACCTTTAGTGATTCTGGTTGCGGCGCCCGTTTCGGTGAATCACCAAGCTGTCAAATGTAGACAGGATAGCAAATGCTATGATCGTGGTGTCTAATTTCCTCTATACTGTATCTGCGGCACACTATAGAGAGGAACGGTTTTAGTTTCATGACCGAAACAATGTTTGAAACTGGTCATTAGGAGCGATCTCAACTGGGGTGCTTAGAGGCTGATTGAACCCGAGGAAGGCAGAAGCCTCGACAGAATTGGACCAGAGTGAAAGTGTAATTAGTATAGAAGGGTTTTGTGGAAAATGAAAGAGGTCGTTGGGGTCATGTGGATTGTTGAAGCATTTTGGGCATTCGTAGGGGACACTTGGGTCAAGTCTGTTGAGGTAGGAAAATAAGGGGGAGTAACCGCAGCGTAGTTGAGCGGGGCATGAACAGACCTTTCGACTCAGTGAGAGTTCAATTGGGAAGGTCAGCAGGGTTTTCGGTGAGTATTTTAGGTAAGGGGGCAGTTTCAATGTAGTTCGAAACCACTCGTGTGTGGAGTACTTCATGAATATGGAATTTTTTTTGTATTGAGGGGGGTTGTTAGTATTGTTTTGCTCTTCCGGGATGGTCTCAAACATAAAGCAGAAGCGTTGATCCTATGGTACAAATTGATAGCTAGCGTACAAAAGTACATCCTACGAATGGTTCCAACTTGGAAGAAACAATTGTGAGGAGGGAGAACCAATGCTTAAACTTTGAAGCAAATTCTTGTAAGACACCAGGCTTTCGGATACTGGATAGAACTTTCTGAAAATTACTGGAGTAAAATAGAGCCAAAATCCAAATCATTCAACGGCTACGACTTCGGTTTTCACAGCCACAAAAAATCCAGTTTAATGTCCCGACAGAATTTTATGGCTAAAACTCGAGGGTTATTTCTTTCTTTTCGCCCAGGCTTGTGTAACTTATCGCTAGCGTGTATTTTTTAATCAGATGAAATTTTTTATGAACAATTTTTAGACTTTTTCCTTAAAAATCAACGAACTCTTGAGTGATAATTATTTGTGCTTTTATACTTAAAATCTACGACTACTTGTTTGGAAACATTTTAATTTTCTAAGAAAAAATACAAGACAGTGAGGCTCTTGGAATTTCAAGAATAATTTCTGATGGGCACTTTCATAAAAACAATAACTTGAAAAAATGTTATTTTTAGGGAAGTCTTAAAGTAAAATCCACTTCTAAAACTATAAACCATTCAATTTCTTCTCGCAATTTGCATTTTGTAATTGATGGGCTTATTTGCCTGCCTTTTAGCAAATACATCTCAATTGAACCCAAAAAGACCGAAGGTCAAACCACGGAAAAATCAAATGAGAGCGTGAACAACTTTAAAGACTTCTGATAAAAAAAACGTACACGATCTACAACATAAGTTCCTCATAGCGTTTATTGACATTCAATTTGAAACACAAAACATACAAAGTTTCGAAATCGGAATAAATCTCCAAATCCGAAAAACGCCGAAGAAGATTTAATATGATACCACATTTGACAACTTTCGAGCTTTTGAATGAACTAAAACAGGCTAATGAGTTCCTTCAGCTCATTTTTCAAGGACGCGGCTCGAACAATAAAGGAGAAACGCCCATTTTTCCCGGGATTAGCCGGTAAATAAAGGATGGATGACCTAGATTTAAAAAATTTGATTGTTTAATTGTAACTGAGACCATAGCCAGGCATATATGTTTCAGTCTCGCAAGCCGGAAGACCCGGTTCAAATGACGATCAGGGGCAAAAATATTCCAACTGTTTATTGTCTCAGGTTGCGTATGTCGTAGAAAAAAAAATTCGAATTTTTCCGTTTCTCTACCCAGACAAATATCTGGTCTAGTATATCTGCTACGCACCCCCAGTCTGTATGGGTAGGTTCAAATCTCGATCCGACGTTATTTTTTTAACTAGGTAAAATAAGTAACTTCAAATTTTGTTAATTTGATCATTTGAAAGACTTTTTACCATTGCATTTTTAATCTCTACCCTTGTCTTGATTGTCAATAAGTGTGACTGTGCCAATTATTGGTAGAGCAATGGTAATTCAATTGACCAAAAAGCCAGAGGAGTCAGTTCGAGAATGAAATATTACATTTAGCTTTTTTTACACTTTCATCGATTTGAAGTTACTTGATTGATTTGATTAAATTTTTATTGGAATGTCTTCCAAAGGAGTGAATATTTTCGAGCATATCAGGCTTTTTGCGTCCCCACAAAAGCTTGAGTGGAACAGCCCTTGGAATTATGATTTATGCTTTCTCATTCAAGCTTACCGCGTTTGGGACAGATGGTAACGCGACTGACTGTTGAACAGTAAAAAACCATTCTAATCATTATAAGAATCGCATGAAATTCGAAACAAGTAAATTTGAGACAAATATAAGGATCAAACAGCAAAAACGAACAACACTGATGCACCCTCGCGCCCTGACTAGATTGCATCAGATCGCGGATTTCTCAATACTCTAATCCATCCAACGTTCCTTTGAAAAAGTTTGCTTCAATACAGTAGTTAACTGATATCTTTGTAGTAAGTGGACGGACAGATGTTTCAACTTTCATTCGAATTATCTCCGAAGTTTCATTCGAGGTGAACATTCTCAAATGGAGCTATGGCTCAAATATTTATTCAGAGGCGAAGCCGAGCTTCGCAACACTTGCAATGCAAAAAACACATTGCGCTACAAAATAGTGAATGACAAAAAAGACAGAAGTAAGAAAAAAATTATGTTAGAAAATTATACTTGACGAAAATAACGTGACAAAATTTGAAAAATTACAGCTACAAAAACTTCATATTTGTATCGGGTGAAGTTACTGAAACTGTTTGAAATTAAAAAAAAACGAAAAAAAAACAAAAACTGACATGAAAAATCAGACAGAAACTTTACAATTTGTGACGGTTCAGTTATAGTAAAAACTGTTCAATTTGTAAAAAAAACCAATGCTTTGAAAAGTAAAAAATAAAAACCCCTCCAGATAAAAAAAATGGCGTTAAAAACACGGAAAATGCACCAACAGAAACTAGGACGAAAACCCCGAACCCAAAAAAAAAATGAGAAACTTTTTTGAAAAGATAATTACAACCTGAAAAGGGCTAAAGAAACAGGCTACGAAACTAGTTACTACTTAAGTGATAGAAGTGAAGAAAGTGAACATCTTATTTAAAAAGTGAAGATCCTCTAGAGATTCTCTAGAAATGATCCTGTGGATAAAGTTGATTACGGGAAAAAAAAGTCTAGTACCAGATTGCAATACCCTTGCTTATCGCGAGGGAAATAATCAAAATGTATCGAGGGTAATAATCAACAATTGAGTAACCTGGTGAGGTGTTTGTCGATGTACTCCTGCGTCTCCTGCAGTTGTTCCTCAGCTACAGTGGCCCTCGCCAGCAAGGCAGCCTTCTCAGCCTCCAAGGACATCTAAACAGGCAACACAACTCGATCACCAGCATAAAGCCACATTATGTATAAATTACACATTTCAAAAAATTGCGAGATATATAGAGGTAGAAGATTTCTGAAACCGAGTTTTCATTATTATTATGTTTTTTCCCGTTACAGTTCATTTGATGAATTAAAATGCATCAACTGAGTTAACTTACTACTATCCAAATGTCAAAGCACATGCTATCAAAAAGCTGTAAAGGTGCCCCAAGAGTGGCACCAATTTTTGCTCTAATATTTGCAAAAATAGGTTCGCACTAATGCACTCGCTTCGCAACTGTAAAACACTGTTTATCTTAAGAAAAGGGCGCATGTTGCAGAATGGACGTTAGAAAAGTCTCGTTTCCCTCTCACCAGTTGGTTTCGGGAGAACTCGCGCAGAGAGTGTCTCGCATCGTCCATCTCATCATGCAGTGCTCTGCGCGAGGAGGTCGCCATCTTTGTGCTGAAGCAAACGAGAAGTGAAAGATCTTTCAGTGAGTTGGTTTTAATCCGGAAAAATCTGTCACCGTTAATCTGAGAGCAGTTAAGACTAATTTTTTTTCATTACTATTTAATTTTTTCTATTACTCCAACTCTCATTGCAGAACTCTAATCGGTTAGGTAGTAAAAAGATCACAGGTCAAAAAGTAGCCACGTCCTGAGCCAATCAGAATAGAAAAAGGAAACACTTCGTACGTTTGTCTTCTCATCTCGATCGTGATTGGCCTATGCCTTGTCTACTTAATGACACTAGCTGGTGGTCATTGGCTGACGACTTGTTTACTTTATGGCACGTCTACTTTTTGATCGCACTCCATTCTAATTTCAGTCTTTCGACACGAGCACACAGTGCTTGATACAATACTGACACCTTCAAACTTGGTTGGGCACAGTGACAAGCAAGACATTTTGCCGAAACCGTTTCTACCCTGCGAAGGCAGATGACATAGGAAACCCTGCGACCAAAACCCAACTGGAATTCGAGCCCACTACTTTCGAGCGGAGAGCCATGCACCATACCTACTGGGCCTCTGACGCTCGTATTACTTTTGCAAACTTGCCTGGCCTTGGGCGATATAGTGACACCCTCTTTCATCTTCCTGATCTCTTCGTGGGCCTCCTTCAGGGCACGGGACAACTTGGCCAGATCATTCTGCTGGTCGAGCTTCAGATCCGCATCATTGATATACAGGTCAAACTGGTCAGGGCCCAGGTCTATGTCATAACCCAAGTTGATGATCTGAGTCCGCAAAAGTCTACACATAAATAACACTGATTGAATGAAAATGAAATAGACAACTAACTTTAGAATAAAGAGCAAGCACCAGCAATGCAGAAGTATTTAATGATAGTAATGACACTCATTTATCTTGAATCCTGGAGTGCTCCAAAAAAATCTTCAACTTTCGTCTACTTTTAACTATTCTTTATTCACAAAACAAATTAAACAGATTTTAAAGATGGTTAATTGCATTCATATCAAATCACATATCGATAACATCAAGAGAGCCTCAGCACAATCTGAAGTTAGTATTTCCACAAAACCAACTCCTTATGTTGGTCAAATCACAAAACTTAACTCGCCATTGTCGCGCAATCTGAGCTCCCAGACCTTGTTGTTAGCCTTAACTTAATTCACATTTACTCGCTGTTTTGATGTTGTGGCTATTAGTTGAGGCCAGATTGGATTCCTTCGAGTGAAATTGACTGTTGTCTAGAAATGAGTGAAAAAAGTAAGTGATTGTGAGTATTGGATGAGGGCGGTGAGTACCTGTAGGCGACTAGCAGTTCCTCGTGTCGCTTGATGAATGTCTTGGACACTCCCTTGTACTTCTTCACAGCATCTGTCAGCTGCTCCTCCCTCGTGTGAGACGCTCTTTTGATGTCCTTCATCATGGCCTCCATGTATGCCTTCAGCTTAATGTTCTTCTCACTCTGAGTACGCGTGGAGTCTATGTACTCCTGATCACACACAACACAACACATCACAACATGAAACCCAAGTTCAAATTACATCACACCTCAAATTACAAAAGAAAACACCATCGCTCACTCCGAAAAATTTCAAAATCTATTGACTTATAAGTTAGATACACTTAGCCTCTCGCAATTCCTATATTAAATCCTCAGCCCAATGGATTATCAGCACGGTTTGTTTCCCATTAACGCTTTCACCTTCACCACATCACTGTTTTTCTTCAAAAATCGTTCAATAATATCTAAATTGTCCCAATACAGGGTAGTTTATCTCATATTTGGGCGTTGATTAAAATGACGCTGATTAAAAGAGGCAGTGTATTTAGGGAGTGGTGGATGGACTTCACTTGATTTGACTTACGGCGATGTCGTCCACATATCGGACGAGTCTGCTCTTGTACTCCTCGTTCAGATCCTTCAGCCTGTTCTGCAGTCTGTTGTTCTCACTCTCCAACTCCTTGTTGCTCTGTCTGCACTGGAACAACTCACTCGCAGTCTCCGCCATCTTCTTCTGGGCTGTCCTGGACGCCTGCCTCGCGTCTTCCAGATCCTTCGCAAGCGCATGTCTACAAAACAAATCATTTATAAGTATAGATCGCATTTCACCAAACAAATTATGCACATTTACAACTATATCAGGGCCACAATACGAGCTTTAACAGTCCAACTTGTAGTGATTCTTATGAATTAACAAAAATTAAGTTGAAATGTTGCAAATTTCATTCAATTTTGTAAAATTTTTTATAGAAGAACACGAGCATTTCACAATATAGACTAGAGGAGTGCACATTTGTGGGGTGTATCGTTCACTTCACTCACAGTCTGTGTTCGAGCTGCTTCTGTTCGTCATCGTACATGATCCTGATCCTTTCCAGCTCCTTGTTGAACCTCTCAACATCCCCGAAGATCTGAAATGAAACTAAAAGATGAAAAATACTGTCCTCACTTCGCAAACATTAAAGCACAGTTGGCGCCTCGAACAGATTGCTTATCACCACTCAGCTGAAAAGACGTTGAATAGCCTACAAGTATGATAGATGTTTGCCGTATGCCCTAACGGTTAAGATGCTCAAACTAAAAGTATCTGAGTGCTTTAAGGTTGCTTTCATAGTAATTCCTACTTTGTGACTTTCCACTGAATTGCTGAACAATATGTTATTTTATTTATAAGCCATCTAAACCAGGGGCGGATCTAGGATTTTCTCGAGGGGGGGAGGCGGATTTTCAAAAAAAATTCGAAAATTTTGTCGACCTTTTTTTTTAGGTCGACCGAATTGATTTTTGAGCTCTCCCTAAGCATGGTTTAGTCCCTTTTTGGCAACAGTTTCCATTTTCTGCGCCGCAGGAAAAAATTTGAAAAAACAGTCCAAAAAAGGCGTTTTTAGAAAATTTTGACCAAAAAATTGCGTTTTTTCGGCGCGCGCTCCCCCCTAAAAAATAGAATATATTGACGCCAAAGGCGCCTTCAGAAAAATTTTAGGGTCGGTTGGCGAAAAATGGATTTCTTAAAAAGTACCAAAGGGGGGACCCTTTGGGTCGGCAGGGGGTCGAATCCCTGAGAAATCTGATAATTAGCTTCCATTTTCAAAATTAGTAGTCGATCACCTTTTTCGTGACCTTTACAATTTTGCTGATCGAAAGTGGAGTTTGCCTTCCTTTTAACAATAGAAATGCACTGAACTTAGTAAGAAATCTCAAGTCAAATCGCGAAAAATCAAAGTTGAGCGTGAACAAATTTTGAGACTTCTTCCTGAAAAAAAAACAAAAAAAATCAGCAAGACCTATATAAGGAATTTTCACTACGTTCATTACTCTTAATTAAGAATGAAAACACCATCGCTCTCAAAACAATTTCAAAAACTATTGACACATAAGTTAGATACACTTAGCCTCTCGCAATTCCTATGTTAAATCCTATGACTATCTCAAGTGATTGGTTCTGCGCACATAAAATTCTTAGCACTTGCTTAAAATTGACGGTGATCTATTTTACTTTTTTTATCGATTCTATATTAGTTTTCAGCACTTGAATTATACCAACACTTTTTTCCAGTCTCAGCCTGTCATCTTCAGCCAGCAATGCAGTGTCATGGACAGCCATCACCTTCGAACACACAACAACAAATAAACAAAAGTAAACAACTCACTTTCTCGGAGGGGTACATGTAGCTGGCCTGGGGATCCCCGAAAGTAGCAGAGCGGTCTGGATTACTAGCCATTCGAGGCACACTCGCCGAGTAGTAATTTGCCATAAGGCTCGTAATAAATAAAATTATAACCAGTTAATAAATAAAATAGCACAATGTTTTCAAGTTCGTCGGTCACTGAAGTAATTTTACATTTTAGCTTTCATTTTGGTGTCTATTTCTCACAGCAAATGCATAAGACTGTCTTTATGCGTATACATGGTTTAGAAAAACTATGTATGAGATTAAAAACTAAGAATGACTGTGCTTTTTCATGCATTGAAGAAGTAAAGTCTGGCTAAACAGTCAACTATACCTGAAGCGTACCTGAGCTGCTAATACAGTAAAATATAGCTGCAAATTTTAAAAAAAACCCTTTTCGTCTCAAATTTTCTTTCGGAAACATGACAATTTTTTTTTCAAAAATTGGAAACTTTGGGATCAATTAAATGCCATATGCCATATTCAATAAGAATGATCGTACTGAGCTTCTCAAACATTGTTTCACATTGAATGATTTACACTGAGCGCAGACGCAGACCATACCTTGTCAATTTTCTTGGCACTCATTCTGTTGAGGAGACTCCTGATGCGTTCTAGTTCTGCCTGAGCCAGATCGTAGCTGTCGTGAGTGGGGGGCACAGTGGGAGGGGGAGGACCGATTCTTCCCGCCCTGTCTCGCATCATCACCTCCTTCGTGTTCACTATGGTCAACAACTCTGTTGTCAACTCCTCGTTTCTAGCCACCTGCAAAACTTATAGCGTCACTAAAAAGGAGCAAAAAAAGCAAGGAGGCTTCTATGAAGGCCGCATAAGTTGTTCTTTCAATTCCTCACTTTTTAAACTCAATTCAGAACGTAAGAACCCAGTCGGAAAATCTAATCTAACTTTAAAGTCATCATCGTTTTTGGACAGAGTAAACATGCTCACAACTGACATTGAAATCTGCAGCAGTTTTGCATTAGCATAACAATTGTTCACTTGCCTCTCTGTCGTAGTCCTTGGCCAGTCCCATGTAGTTGGCCTTGAGAGCCACAAACTCATCTGCCAACAGTTTCCTGCCCTTCTCCACATCCTCCAGTCTGTCCACTGCCTCCTTCGCTGTCCTCTGCAGTCTCTCCCGCTCCATCTGCGCCTCCATTAACTGAGACTCCAACAGAAGACTCTGCATAGCAACACAAAACAACAACACATAATACAAGGGGTCTCTCCCGCTCCATCTGCGCCTCCAGTAACTGAGACTCTAACAGAAGACTCTGCAGAGCAACACAAAACAACAACACATAATACAAGGGGTCTCAACAGCTCCATCTGCGCCTCCATTAACTGAGACTCCAACAAAAGACTCTGCAGAGCAACACAAAACAACAACACATAATACAAGGGGTCTCTCCCGCTCCATCTGCGCCTCCAGTAACAGAGACTCTAACAGAAGACTCTGCAGAGCAACACAAAACAACAACACATAATACAAGGGGTCTCTCCCGCTCCATCTGCGCCTCCATTAACTGAGACTCCAACAGAAGACTCTGCAGAGCAACACAAAACAACAACACATAAAACAAGGGGTCTCTCCCGCTCCATCTGCGCCTCCATTAACTGAGACTCTAACAGAAGATTCTGCAGAGCAACACAAAACAACAACACATAATACAAGGGGTCTCAACAGCTCCATCTGCGCCTCCATTAACTGAGACTCCAACAAAAGACTCTGCAGAGCAACACAAAACAACAACACATAATACAAGGGGTCTCTCCCGCTCCATCTGCGCCTCCAGTAACTGAGACTCTAACAGAAGACTCTGCAGAGCAACACAAAACAACAACACATAATACAAGGGGTCTCTACCGCTCCATCTGCGCCTCCATTAACTGAGACTCTAACAGAAGACTCTGCAGAGCAACACAAAACAACAACACATAATACAAGGGGTCTCTCCCGCTCCATCTGCGCCTCCATTAACTGAGACTCTAACAAAAAAACTCTGCAGAGCAACACAAAACAACAACACATAATACAAGGGGTCTCTCCCGCTCCATCTACGCCTCCATTAACTGAGACTCCAACAGAAGACTCTGCAGAGCAACACAAAACAACAACACATAATACAAGGGGTCTCTCCCGCTCCATCTGCGCCTCCATTAACTGAGACTCTAACAGAAGACTCTGCAGAGCAACACAAAACAACAACACATAATACAAGGGGTCTCTCCCGCTCCATCTGCGCCTCCATTAACTGAGACTCTAACAGAAGACTCTGCAGAGCAACACAAAACAACAACACATAATACAAGGGGTCTCTACCGCTCCATCTGCGCCTCCATTAACTGAGACTCTAACAAAAAACTATGCAGAGCAACACAAAACAACAACACATAATACAAGGGGTCTCTACCGCGCCATCTGCGCCTCCATTAACTGAGACTCCAACAGAAGACTCTGCAGAGCAACACAAAACAACAACACATAATACAAGGGGTCTCTCGAGCTCCATCTGCGTCTCCATTAACTGAGACTCTAACAGAAGACTCTGCAGAGCAACACAAAACAACAACACATAATACAAGGGGTCTCTCCCGCTCCATCTGCGCCTCCATTAACTGAGACTCCAACAGGAGACTCTGCAGAGCAACACAAAACAACAACACATAATACAAGGGGTCTCTCCCGCTCCATCTGCGCCTCCATTAACTGAGACTCTAACAAAAAAACTCTGCAGAGCAACACAAAACAACAACACATAATACAAGGGGTCTCTCCCGCTCCATCTGCGCCTCCATTAACTGAGACTCTAACAGAAGACTCTGCAGAGCAACACAAAACAACAACACATAATACAAGGGGTCTCTCCCGCTCCATCTGCGCCTCCATTAACTGAGACTCCAACAGAAGACTCTGCAGAGCAACACAAAACAACAACACATAATACAAGGGGTCTCTCCCGCTCCATCTGCGCCTCCATTAACTGAGACTCTAACAAAAAACTCTGCAGAGCAACACAAAACAACAACACATAATACAAGGGGTCTCTCCCGCTCCATCTGCGCCTCCATTAACTGAGACTCCAACAGAAGACTCTGCAGAGCAACACAAAACAACAACACATAATACAAGGGGTCTCTCCCGCTCCATCTGCGCCTCCATTAACTGAGACTCTAACAGAAGACTCTGCAGAGCAACACAAAACAACAACACATAATACAAGGGGTCTCTACCGCTCCATCTGCGCCTCCATTAACTGAGACTCTAACAAAAAACTCTGCAGGGCAACACAAAACAACAACACATAATACAAGGGGTCTCTCCCGCTCCATCTGCGCCTCCATTAACTGAGACTCCAACAGAAGACTCTGCAGAGCAACACAAAACAACAACACATAATACAAGGGGTCTCTCCCGCTCCATCTGCGCCTCCATTAACTGAGACTCCAACAGAAGACTCTGCAGAGCAACACAAAACAACAACACATGATACAAGGGGTCTCTCCCGCTCCATCTGCGCCTCCATTAATAAAGACTCTAACAGAAGACTCTGCAGAGCAACACAAAACAACAACACATAATACAAGGGGTCTCTACCGCTCCATCTGCGCCTCCATTAACTGAGACTCTAACAAAAAACTCTGCAGAGTAACACAAAACAACAACACATAATACAAGGGGTCTCTCCCGCCCATCTGTGCCTCCATTAACTGAGACTCCAACAGAAGACTCTGCAGAGCAACACAAAGCAACAACACATAATACAAGGGGTCTCTCCCGCTCCATCTGCGCCTCCACTAACTGAGGTTCTAACAGAAGACTCTGCAGAGCAACACAAAACAACAACACATAATACAAGGGGTCTCTACCGCTCCATCTGCGCCTCCATTAACTGAGACTCCAACAGAAGACTCTGCAGAGCAACACAAAACAACAACACATAATACAAGGGGTCTCTCCCGCTCCATCTGCGCCTCCATTAACTGAGACTCCAACAGAAGACTCTGCAGAGCAACACAAAAAACAACACATAATACAAGGGGTCTCTACCGCTCCATCTGCGCCTCTATTAACTGAGACTCTAACAGAAGACTCTGCAGAGCAACACAAAACAACAACACATAATACAAGGGGTCTCTACCGCTCCATCTGCGCCTCCATTAACTGAGACTCTAACAAAAAACTCTGCAGAGCAACACAAAACAACAACACAAAATACAAGGGGTCTCTCCCGCTCCATCTGCGCCTCCATTAACTGAGACTCCAACAGAAGACTCTGCAGAGCAACACAAAACAACAACACATAATACAAGGGGTCTCTCCCGCTCCATCTGCGCCACCATTAACTGAGACTCCAACAGAACACTCTGCAGAGCAACACAAAACAACAACACATAATACAAGGGGTCTCTCCCGCTCCATCTGCGCCTCCATTAACTGAGACTCTAACAAAAAACGCTGCAGAGCAACACAAAACAACAACACATAATACAAGGGGTCTCTCCCGCTCCATCTGCGCCTCCATTAACTGAGACTCCAACAGAAGACTCTGCAGAGCAACACAAAACAACAACACATAATACAAGGGGTCTCTCCCGCTCCATCTGCGCCTCCATTAACTGAGACTCTAACAGAAGACTCTGCAGAGCAACACAAAACAACAACACATAATACATGGGGTCTCTACCGCTCCATCTGCGCCTCCATTAACTGAGACTCTAACAAAAAACTCTGCAGAGCAACACAAAACAACAACACATAATACAAGTGGTCTCTCCCGCTCCATCTGCGCCTCCATTAACTGAGACTCCAACAGAAGACTCTGCAGAGCAACACAAAACAACAATACATAATACAAGGGGTCTCTCCCGCTCCATCTGCGCTTCCATTAACTGAGACTCTATTAGAAGACTCTGCAGAGCAACACAAAAAAACAACACATAATACAAGGGGTCTCTACCGCTCCATCTGCGCCTCCATTAACTGAGGCTCTAACAAAAAAACTCTGCAGAGCAACACAAAACAACAACACATAATACAAGGGGTCTCTACCGCTCCATCTGCGCCTCCATTAACTGAGACTCTAACAAAAAACTCTGCAGAGCAACACAAAACAACAACACATAATACAAGGGGTCTCTACCGCTCCATCTGCGCCTCCATTAACTGAGACTCTAACAAAAAACTCTGCAGAGCAACACAAAACAACAACACATAATACAAGGGGTCTCTCCCGCTCCATCTGCGCCTCCATTAACTGAGACTCTAACAGAAGACTCTGCAGAGCAACACAAAACAACAACACATAATACAAGGCGTCTCTCCCGCTCCATCTGCGCCTCCATTAACTAAGACTCTGACAGAAGACTCTGCAGAGCAACACAAAACAACAACACATAATACAAAGGGTCTCTTCCGCTCCATCTGCGCCTCCATTAACTGAGACTCTAACAGAAGACTCTGCAGAGCAACACAAAACAACAACACATAATACAAGGGGTCTCTCCCGCTCCATCTGCGCCTCCATTAACTGAGACTCTAACAAAAAACTCTGCAGAGCAACACAAAACAACAACACATAATACATGGGGTCTCTACCGCTCCATCTGCGCCTCCATTAACTGAGACTCTAACAAAAAACTCTGCAGAGCAACACAAAACAACAACACACAATACAAGGGGTCTCTCCCGCTCCATTTGCGCCTCCATTAACTGAGACTCTAACAGAAGACTCTGCAGAGCAACACAAAACAACAACACATAATACAAAGGGTCTCTCCCGCTCCATCTGCGCCTCCATTAACTGAGACTCTAACAAAAAACTCTGCAGAGCAACACAAAACAACAACACATAATACAAGGGGTCTCTACCACTCCATCTGCGCCTCCATTAACTGAGACTCTAACAAAAAACTCTGCAGAGCAACACAAAACAAAAACACATAATACAAGGGGTCTCTCCCGCTCCATCTGCGCCTCCATTAACTGACACTCTAACAAAAAACTCTGCAGAGCAACACAAAACAACAACACATAATACAAGGGGTCTCTACCGCTCCATCTGCGCCTCCATTAACTGAGACTCTAACAAAAAACTCTGCATAGCAACACAAAACAACAACACATAATACAAGGGGTCTCTCCCGCTCCATCTGCGCCTCCATTAACTGAGAATCTAACAG